TGTCCAGGCAGAGGTTACAAAGGCCACCTAAAGTACGAGAGAATGAGATAGTAAAGACAGGGCCAGCCTTCTCATCTCCTTCACATTTACCGCTGGCAGAGGTATTGAGGCAACCAGGTTCACCTAAGTCACCCAGACTCACCCTGAGCAGCTAAAAGAGGCTTCTGGGAGGCCAGAGGGACATTGCTGGAACAACTCTTGGGGGGCTGGGGCAACTGGCTAAAAAATTTTTAACTGTTCTAATTTTAGTTCCTCAGTTTTTTGTTGGGTTGGTGTTGGTTAAATGTTTAGTTGAGGTTGGGGGTAATTTTAATTTGGGTATAACTGTAAACTGTTTATTATTGTTGTTATTGGTTTCTATTGATTTATTGGTTTGTTTGTTGCTTGTCAGCATATTTTGTTTTTTAATGTTTGGTGTGTTTTTATATATATGTTGTAAGCCACCAAGAGTGGCTGGGGAAACCCAATCAGATGGGCGGGATATAAATTAATTTTATTATTAAGTCAGGGTTCCCCAAATTTGGGTCTCCAGCTGTTTTCGGACTACAACTCCCATCATCCCTAGCTAGCACAACCAATGGTCAGGGATGATGGGAACTGTAGTCCAAAAAAAACAGCTGGAGACCCAAGTTTGGGGAACCATGATCTAAGTCTTTCCCTATGTAGCTTGCGTGCTTGCCTCTGCACTGTCCTGACTTTCCCTTCCTCTTTCCCCAACATCCACAACGAAAGCAACTGGTTACTAGAGGGAGGGGAGATCTCAGTGGGAGTTATAGCCAGGCAGACACAGGTTAAAACTTCTATTATCTATTCAGATTCTGTCATGAGAATTGTAAACATTGCACACATTGGGGGGAAAGGGGGGGGTCTGCCACTTACAAAATGTGATTAAGAAGAATTTGGAATCTGTTGGCAAAGGACAAGATGCTGAAGGGAAGAGCTAGCAAGAGGCACAGGGCATTATGGGCTGGGAACAATGTAATTTATGTCTTGCAAAGTTGACTGGTGGCAATACTAGTGTATGTTTAACTATTTTCACACTCTGCCACAGGTTCCTCATTAGCTTAACACACCGTTTTTTTATGAGAGGGAAAAGAAAGAAAACAAGTGGAACAAGAACCCAGCGGGGTTACACACTAAGCTATCTGAAATAAAAGAACACCACTGGGTTCTTGTTCAACTTAAAAACTTTTTTGTTTTCTTTCTTTCTGCCCATAACAACTCCCTCTGATTGCAATTATCTACCTTGTTTTCATTCTGAAAAAGCCTTCCTGTTTTCCCCCCAACCAAAGCATTCATACTAACTCCCCACACACAACACTAGAAGGCACTGTGCGCTCCTGTAAATGCTGCAGCCTCTGCATAAGAGAATGCTCCTTTGTTTTCAAAACTTGTCTGCTTCCTGCTCTTATTGGCTCAGCAGTGTCTCACCTGCTCCTTCAACTTCGCATGTCAGACTAAGCAGCCTTTTACAAGAAGTGGGATATCCTGTATGTTAGCAGGTCCTGGGATTCATGGGGACCAACTGTTTTGCTCATGGCTTCGAGAAATAAAACTGAATCATTTGCTGATAGATTTTGAATGCTGAATTATTAGCATGATGATAATAAAAGTAAACAATTATTCCCACACTGTGTGGGCCGATATATTTAACCTATGGTGTTTTCTTAACAAGTGATGCCGTTGTATGGGTATGGAGAACCTATGTCGCTCCAGATGTTGCTGGACAGCAACGCCCATGTTCCCTGACCATTGAGCATGCTGGCTGGGGGAGTTGGGAGACCAAAAACAACTGGAATGGCACAGTAACTGCTCTTTTCCTAAGTTTACAATGTTAGCTGTCTGCTCTGACTAAATTTCTTCTAATTGTGAAGATTTATCTTGCCCCCACAAAGGATACAGATCTTAATAATGATGAAATTCAATATTTATATAGTTCATTGAACACTAAAATGTTTCACACACATTTTCTCAGTAATCCTGCTTTCACACACATTCTAAGAGAGGTCAACATTAAATGGGGGTTTGAGGCTGATGAGAGAGAAAGAGAGAAGTTTACTTAAGGCCACAGGCTGCAATCCAATGCTTGCTTACCCAGAAGGAAGCCCCACTGAACAGTGGGACATAGGTCTGAGCAGATGTATACAGGTTTGTACAGTTAGAGATTTAATGGCTGAACCACGAGGCCTTCCCAGCTTACAATCATAACCACTGCCATAAAGGTAAAGGTAAAAAAACCACTGCCATGTACCAAAACTGATTAACTTGACTATCCCTAAAGCGATGTGGGAGTATAATTTCAAGTGTGAAGGCTGAGAGAAGCTCTTAAAAATTGCTTTAATTCATAGTAAGCATCAAGCTTAAACCCAAGCCTTACCAAGTGCAAATTCCACAAGGGTTTCATTGTCCTCACTGAGCATATCTAGGAACAGGTCCAATACTTTCAGCTGCCGGAGATATTCATAGTTCTTGGGATCATAAGCAAAATTAGCTAGATTGGCCAACACCTGCTCCTTGGCTTCTGAAATAATATAAAACAACTCTTGAGGTAATATTTTTGGTATATAAAATTTGACACAACTTTGTTAATATATTCCGAAACGTTTATTTGAGTTTTTGTGGTTGTTTGATTTTTATGTAATACTGCATGTCATATGCTCTAATGCAAACAAAAATATATACAATGCAACCATGTTAAACAGTTTAAAGATGAAAATGAATAAAAACTGCGTTACCAAAGCAACAACTCTTGAGAGGAGGAAAGAAGCAACTAAGATGGGCAAGGCATACACATAGAACAGAAGCAGATAGTGGCCAATAAATTATACTCACCGGAGCTCTCAGTCACCTGGAATTCAGTGACTAGGGCCTGTAGGTATTCAAGGCGACCCAGACCTAGTAGGTCCTTGTGGTTTTGGGACATGGTGCTAAAAGAAAAGGCAGAGTTTCATTTGAAATAATATTCTGAAGGACGTACTATTACAGGAGTCCTGAAAGGTTCTGTGAAAGATTTCTTCTCCATTTTCAATCCCAATTTCCTTGTCTTTAATGTTTAGCCTCTTTAGACTACGTATAATTTCAAGCTAATAATTTTATACGAGCAGTGAATAAACTACAGCTTTATTATTCAAATGGGGCAGGCTTCCTAAACGCATTTTGCTTTTCGTTCAGGAAAAAGCATTTTCCATCTCCCAAATGTGGAAAATCCCACTGCCTCAAAAAAGTACTTCCACATGTCTGTAGAATCAAATCTACTTTTGACCTGAAAACAAACCATGATGCTAAACTTTCCAGGTTAGATCTTTGCATATAACATTCTCCCTCCAAGCTTCCTACACTGCCGTATGACAAACTCTCTGTTCATATCCCTTAGTATTTTAAAACACGGATATGGTTGATATGTGCTTGTTCAGGACAACTCTTAGGTTCTCAGTGAGGTAGGAAACCATTTGACATAAAACATTTTCTAATCATGACTAGACTCCTCACCTTTGTGTACTCAGAATTACAGCAAAAAATATTGCCAATTTCTCCAATAGCCTTAAAAAAAACACCCACTACTTCCTCTTTTAAATATTAACTAAACAAGGAACTAGAAGACACAGGGCATACAAAAATTCAATCGATGCCCCACCAACTAGTATTCCTACTCTCCAGTTCCTCCACATAACTATGGAAAAGCTCCCAGTAAAATAAATCAGACTGTGTGACTATAACCTACCACTCCACCAGGGCAACACTTTGTGACTTGTGTAGATGTGTCCTTAAAACACCACTTCTCCAGTATTTACCCATGTATGATCTAAGGTAAAAGGTAAAGAACCCCTGGATGGTTAAGTCCAGTCCAAAGCGACTATGGGGTTGTGGTGCTCATCTCACTTTCAGGCCAAGGGAGTTGGTGTTTGTCCACATACAGCTTCCCAGGTCGTAGCCAGCATGACTAAACCACTTCTGGCACAATGGGACACAGTGATGGAAGCCAGAGCACACGGAAATGTAGTTTACCTTTCTGCCACAGCGGTACCTATTCATCTACTTGCACTGGTGTGCTTTTGAACTGCTAGGTTGACAGGAGCTGGGACAGAGCAATGGGAGCTCATCCCGTTGCAGGGATTCGAACCACCAACCTTCTGATTGGCAAGTCTAAGCGGCTCAGTGGCTTAGACCACAGCGTCACCCGTGTGTATGATCTAATGGTCCCATGAAACAACTGCCACTCCCCTCTCCTTTGGGGTGTCCTCCCCACCACGGGAAAACATGTAATATGATGGATCAGATTTCCCATATTTATTCTGGAAGACTTTCTGATCCCTCGAAGGCTGCCCTGACCAGAACATGGCTGAAAAAGACCTAGGTTAACATATTATTGTTGCTACTACCAGTGGTGGTAGTAGTCGTCTATACAGTGGTACCTCGGGTTAAGTACTTAATTCGTTCCGGAGGTCTGTCTTTAACCTGAAACTGTTCTTAACCTGAGGTACCACTTTAGCTAATGGGGCCTCCCGCTGCCGCCGCACCGCCGGAGCACAATTTCTGTTCTCATCCTGAAGCAAAGTTCTTAACCCGAGGTACTATTTCTGGGTTGGTGGAGTCTGTAACCTGAAGCGTCTGTAACCCGAGGTACCACTGTATTTTCTTATACTGTACTCCGTCTTTCCCCCTGATAGGGACTCCAGGCGGCTTACAGGTAAACCGAGGTCTAGGATAGGATATTGCCATAGGAATCTAAACCTGGGTATTTCCGTTCGTTTCCCTTCCGTTCGTTTCACTTCGTTACCTGCTGCCCTTGGGTGGCTCCTTCCTTTGCCCGCACCCGCCTCGCTTTATCGCCTAGCCGGTTGGAGGCACAGCAAAACCTCGCACAGAACTTCCGGACGAGACACGCCGGCACGCACGGAAAAAAAACTCCAGGAACGCGCAGGAAACCGGATGTTGCGTCGAAGAACGGGCGGAAGAGTTACACTAAGGGCAGCACCCTAGCGGGTAACAAGTACCCTTTAGAGGTGGGAGGGTCCGCTCTACCGCTCCGCCGCCGAGCCCCTTCCAGCCATGGCGGGCTTCTCCGCGAAGAAACGTCTGTCCAAGCCCTTGTTGTTTGGGGGCATCTTCTGTGCCTTGGCGACCGCCTTCGTGTACAGGTGCCGTGAGAGGGCCTGGGCAGGAGTCCAAAGGGAGGAGGAGCTCAAGGAGCCTGGCAGGGGTTGGTGTTGAGGTCGGAAACAAAGTGCACAGTCCAGCAAGCTTCTCCAGCTCCCTGACCTTTCAGCTTAAGGCTTTGGCCCTCGGCTCACTTTCTTGGGAGTGATCCTCGCCGAACTTTTGCATCATAAGCACACAGAGGATTGCACCGTGAAAAAGTCCGGGGCAGTCCTCTTGCAAGATCCCATTTTTGTGGACTTCACAAAGGAGACCCAAAGTAGCTGTGGCGCCTTTAAAAGCTAGAGGATCTGCTGCGATACAAACTTTTGCTGGGTTGGGTTTTCCTTCGGTTAGGAAGGTTTGTGCCACATGCAATCTGTTTGGTCTATCGAGTCTTGCAAGTCGTTGTGTTTTTGCAGAAACAGGCTTGCAAACCCATTGCAGCCCTCCTGAGGAGTAAGCCCCATTGTTGTGTGGGGCTTTCTGCTGGGTAAACGTGCATAAGACTGTCTGGAGTTTTTCCCAAGGCTCCCACCTCACGCAGATTCATAGCTCTTTATTAACTGTCAATCAGTCTAGTGGCCGTAGGAAGTTTTATTACTCTCTTTTCCAAGAACTTTTCGGTGTGTGGTCCTTTGCTAGGTAGAACTCGTCCTATGTTTTAGAACCTCCCCAACCAGAAAAGGAATGGGCTGTGTGTACTAACATGAACGTTGGGTGGTAGGATAGAGCTTTGTTGAGGGACGCCTGATAAGCAAAGGTCTGGAGTTGGGCTGCATGGCTTGATTAACTCTCTTTTTGCCTCTGTTTACTGCAGACATCGTTTTTTCCCTGAGGTAGAGGAGATCCGTGCCCGGGAGTATGAGTACTATGAAAAGAAACGCCTGGAGGTGCTGCAGAGGCGTCAGCAGCAACTGGCTGAGCTGGCGCAGAAGAAAACAGCCCCGTAGCTGGCCTTTTACTGCTGAGGAAAGACAGAGACCTGACTAAATGGACTAGATGACTATGCTCCCATGCCATTGGTTCTTACAGGCGTGTTTGGGCTTGGACTACTCAGTGGGGTTTGAGCAAGTCATATCTTAATTAACTTGAGAGTTCTTGGGAGAGAGCATGTAATGTCCATAAGAATAAGGATTTGAGTCTGAGGGAACCTAAGATTACGTATTGGTTCTTGCATTGATTTTTTACGCAACTTTTAGCATATGATTTAAAACAAGTAGTCTTGCCACGACTCCAAAAGTTTGCCATGTTTTGGTGAGTCTTATTATTATTATTATTATTATTATTATATATGAGTTTTTTGGTTTTTGGTTTTGCTGGTAATCATGTAAAAAGGTAAAGATAAAGGACCCCTGACAGTTAAGTCCAGTCGTGAAATATATCCCTGCTTTCAGACAATATTTCAGAGATGAACAATATTCTTGCTTCCTATGCAGAAACTCCTAGGCCACTGTTCAGACAAATGAATGTCTATTTCTGGCGTGTGTCTGCTTAATCACTGAATGAAGCACAATTGTTTATTTTGAAACATGAATGAATTCCTGCAGTTGGATCATAGCTGTAAAAGTGATTGTGAACTAAAATGATGCGCTGATGCAAATATATTACCCAAATTCTTTGTAATTGTTTAGTGTGAAGTTTTGAATCAATTCTACATATAGCTATACTCGGTTCTACTGACTTCAAGGTAGCTTACTTCTAGGTAACTGGGTATAAATTTGCAGCCTAAGCAGTCCACTGAGACAGCCAGTAATTTCTTAGTGCCCTGCAAGGTGGGTGGGATTTGAGAACTGCTGTCCTCAAATTTCCATTTCAAAAGCTTGGACAATAAATTGTAGGAACAATTGTGTCTCCCTGCAAGCACCTGTAATGATTGCAGCCACTGTCTTCCCAGTACAAGTTAACGGAGCAACAGTCCCTTACCTTGGTTGATTTGCTTGTGTGGAACAAGGAAGAGAATTTGAGCCAGTCAGCCCAGTCCAAAGAGTGTCACCCTTGATGTTCCTTTTAATTATCTAAGAATCTCACCTGTTTGCTTGTAGGCTGACAAAATTTAAGATTTGAAGTACTCAAGAGGCAGTGGGGGATATGATAATAAGTTTTTCGGGGAATCTGTATAATAATGAAATGTTCTGCCATTATCAAAAGTATTAAAATAAAGTTCACAATCTTCCCCTCCACTCTAGGCACTGCATGTATATATTTTATATTTAGGGGAGATGGTTTACAGTGACACAGAATCAGTTTGAGAAATTGATCTTGGAGCTGCAAAAACAGTATGTGGTTGGGGGGGCGGTATTTCTTAAGCCACAAGACCCAGGAATGGGATCTTAAGCCACAAGACCCAGGAATGGGATCCTTCCTGCGGGAAAGTGTGAAGGATGAGGTAAGGAATTAAGTCACGTGAACCAGAGAGGGAACAGTGGTCCAGTTATGGTGAACAGCCATCTCTTTTCTGGAAGGTGAACAAAGAAGCAATGAGCAGGAGTGGGTAACCTTTGACTTTCCAGGTGTTGCTGAACTACAACTCCTTGTCAGCTCAAGCATGCATGGCCAAGGATCAGCAACATCTGAAGGGCCAAAAGTTCCCCACACCTGAGCAAGAGGCTATGGTCACTAGAATCTAAGCCAGCCTTTCTTAACCTTGAGTCCCCAAATATTTGACCACAACTATCATTCCTAGACAGCATGACCAGTGTTCAGGGATGATGGAATTGTAGAACTGAAGGTGCCACCAGTGTCTATAGTCCAGCCTCTTGCAGTGCAGGAATATTTTGCCCCATGTGGGACTCAAACCCACGACTCTGAGATTAAAAGATATAATAATATAATAATTTATTATTTCTACCCCGCCCCTCTGGCTGGGTTTCATGCTCTACCTACTGAGCTATCTAGCAGTGAAGTTGCAGTTCAAGAACACTTGGAGACCCGAGGCTGAGAAAGGCCTGCCTAAGCACTTAGTCCTGCTCGGCGTAGTTCATAGCTTCTGTGAGTTCTTCAAGCCCCTTCGCCATGGCAAGGCAGTGATCCATGAAGGATCTTGCCAACAAAGGTCCGTATAGTAAAAGCTATGGTTTTCCCAGTAGTGATGTATGGAAGTGAATGCTGGACCATAAAGAAGGCTGATCGCCGAAGAATTGATGCTTTTGAATTATGGTGCTGGAGGAGACTCTTGAGAGTCCCATGGACTGCAAGAAGATCAAACGTATCCATTCTTAGGGAAATCAGCCCTGAGTGCTCACTGGAAGGACAGATCGTGAAGCTGAGGCTCCAATACTTTGGCCACCTCATGAGAAGAGAAGACTCCCTGGAAAAGACCCTGATGTTGGGAAAGATGGAGGGCACAAGGAGAAGGGGACGACAGAGGACGAGATGGTTGGATAGTGTCTTCGAAGCTACCAGCATGAGTCTGACCAAACTGCGGGAGGCAGTGGAAGACAGGAGTGCCTGGCGTGCTCTGGTCCATGGGGTCACGAAGAGTCCGACACGACTAAACAACAACAACAACAAAGCACGTAGCCGGGAGTAGGTTCCTGTTGAGTAGGTTCCTACTTGTGACCTACTAATTGGTAGCGTGGTGGGGTGGAACAGAAAATGGGCATATTTTGGAGAGCTTCTTAGAAGAGGCGGGAGGAGGGAGTAGTCTTTTGTACTGCTCTCAGAGCAAGTTGGGTGAGGAATAGGTGTTTGTGAATTCCGGTTTCTTGGGCAACTAGTTGTAGATGAGGAAGAAAGTCCTCCTATGGGTGTGTTTCAGAGCAACCCCACCTTTTCTGCACAGGGGTGACACATAAGATTCCTTTTTATTTTAACATCAGTGAAACTTTTAATATTTCTTAAGAAGTAATGGAACTTTAATTTAGAAACACAGGAAGCTGCCTTAGAGGCAACCCATTGATCCATTAGCACAGTATCATCTACACTGACATAATCCCTAGGTAGTTTAACAATTGATATTTTTCTGTCTCGGTTCTATGCTATTTGAGAAACACGTCTTCTCTAGAAAATAGTCTGCCTATAATGCTTTTTTGGGGGGTGGGGAGGGGAATAGTAAGCATGAAAGAAGGTCATGGAGAATGGGAGTGTCTTTTTATTGGCTGGTTTCTCCAGATTAGCTAGCTTTCAATGTTGCATAATAAAACTAGCTGTGTTTGTGTTCCCTGGCTTCTGAATTTAATTAAAACTTAATTCCTCTGACTTCCTACCCAGAAAGTCTTGAAGAAGCCAGTTCTGTTCCATGACTTAGTGACTTGCCTTTCACAATGCAACAGGGATAAATCTAAGGAAAGAAATCTTTGTGACTTATTACCTTTGCCAGACATTTTATTTAAAACCTCAGATGTCCAGCACTATACTTGTGCTCATGCAATAGAGAAATTGCACCACAGTTCAAGAAGGAGTGGGCACCACAGTTCAAGAAGGACACTGACAAACTGGAACGTGTCCAGAGGAGGGCAACCAAAATGGTCAAAGGCCTGGAAACGATGCCTTATGAGGAACGGCTAAGGGAGCTGGGCATGTTTAGCCTGGAGAAGAGGAGGTTAAGGGGTGATATGATAGCCATGTTCAAATATATAAAAGGATGTCATATAGAAGAGGGAGAAAGGTTGTTTTCTGCTGCTCCAGAGAAGCGGACACGGAGCAATGGATCCAAACTACAAGAAAGAAGATTCCACCTAAACATTAGGAAGAACTTCCTGACAGTAAGAGCTGTTCGACAGTGTTGTACTGTAATTTGTTACTTAGGGGGAAAAAATCAGTCACGTTGACATCACGTTGAGAGCTAAATATATGTGGTGGTAGTAGTGATGCAGGGGAGAAGAATTTAATGTGAGGTGGAAGGGGCGCGTTGTAAGTGAATTTGAAACCACAATACCCCCCACCGTTAACGCAACCAGTATTTTAATGTTACTTTCGGTGCAATCCTAGGCATGCCTACCCAGAAGTAAATTCCATTGAACTCAATGTTTCTTACTTCCAGGTTAAGTGCATAAAGGGCTGCAGTCTCAAGTTATTAAATACTAAATACTAAGTTGCTGTGTTTCCACCAATTTTGTTATGAAGCCAGGAATGTTAATACCCCTCTTGCCAACTAGGAAACTCATGCAGCCGTTGCCAACAGGAGCAAAATGACAGCTGTAATTGACAAGAAGGAAACGTATAGAGCTCCTCTAGAATCAACATTGAATTTAGTTCAAGAGGCTCCAGAAACAGTTCTACCCTTGTTCCTCCTCCACCAACATTACGGCTACCAACATCAGTTGCTATGTGAAACCTTATTAACAGTTTCCCCTTAATCCAGAGGGAAATGATATGGAGAAATTACAGGGAATCTAAAATAGTAAGTTTAAATTTTTTATTGAGAGTTCATGAACAAAAAAATGCCTTAAACAAAACAGGTCTTACTTCCTAGCTTCTTTATTCAGACATGGATAGAAAAAGCTAATATTTGGTCCCTTTTTAAATGGTGCATTCTGAAAGAAGAAAAAGCATTCCACAATTCCTGAAGGAAGCACAAAAGTCGGCGTGCATTACAATTCAAAGTCCTTAAGTCTGCCTATTTGCTGTAATGTTTTCAGCTTTACAAAAGTTACCAAGTGCATTTGGATCAATACATTTTTTTTTTAAAGAAGACTACACGTATATATCCAAGCAATAATGCAGCAATCTTGTTCAAGAGCATATTGTAACAAACTGGCCACAGTCCTGAGATCAAGAAATTGCAAAGAAATCACTTTACAACAGTGGCCTAAATTGATGCCAATCTTCTAGTCCAACTGTCAACTTCTTTAGGACTGGGATGGGGAAGCTGTAGTCCTCCAGAGATTGTTGGACAACTATTAACACCCATCTTCCCTGATCTTTGACTATGCCATTGGGACAGTTGGGACTTTGCATCCAACAGCACCTGAGAGGCCACAGATCTGCCTTCTCTGATTGATAATAAAAAGTGCTTCATTCAGTGTATGTTACTTAAACACCACTGCAGCATCGGGGTTTGGGAGTGGAATTAAATGATACTGAGCAATTTGCACCCACTTAATGATATTTTTTTATTTGAGGAAACTCCTCCCATGTTGGATACTTTGGAGATCTAGCTGCCTATATTCTATTTCTGAACCTGTTTTCACCAGTGTAGAGAGGAGTAGGATTGAGAATATGCTGTCTGTCTGTCTGTCTGTCTGTCTGTCTGTCTGTCCCCCTCTCTCTCTCTCTCTCTGTGTGTGTGTGTGTGTGTGTGTTTTCCTTACAGTGCTTTTAAGAAGCCCAGTCTATCTAGAGATGCTTAGTGAAAGCTGCTAACCCACAAGCTTAATCCACAATTGGGCTAAACGAAACACACACCTAGGGAAGCAACATAAGAAGAGACCAAGAGGATTATGCAAAGGTCCATCTAGTTTTACAACATCAGCCAGCCAGATGACTTTGAGACATTTAAAAGTAGGACATAAAGGCAGTAACTCTCCACTACTGGGATGTATCCTACCTGTAGACTAAGGGCACTTCCAAACAATCTATTTATTGAGCATTTATCCCAGCTTGTTTGCAGGAAGATTAGATGACACTGGTGACTTAATGAGCATACCTTCTGGTTTGTTTGCTCAGATTTCCCAGTGCGTTTTATTTTCCTTATCATGAAATGACGCATCTTTGGAGGAAGCAGTTCTGTAGTGCAAGACTGCCCAGTCAGCTATAATTGCGCAACCTGAAATTGCAAGTATGTGGTTGAATCCCATCTGAAAACAGCAACAGTCTGGAAGTGTCCTAGGAAGCCCCACTTCAATCTTAGCAGTATCCTTTGTGAATTTGTCTCACACACCTTTAAAAAACCACCTAAGCTAGCAGCTGAAACTTGCACCAGATTGGCTTGTAAAACACATTTTTGCATGTCCCATGTCAGTCCTGAACATGGTATGGATATGCACACTCTATTTTTAAATACTTCTCTTCTACTTTATACCTGGTATATTTGGTCAGGAATATTTATTTAAAACTAGTGTGAAAGGCTGCCATGTACAATAATGCCCAAAATCCAATTAAAACATAGAGGTTTGGCTTTCTATAGAACAGGAGTATTCAGAACTATGTTTGTGTGCATGTCAGCTGAATTTATACTTTGGTCATATGCTTGTCAGACACGGCAAATCCTTTCACCCCACAAAAGACCAGAATCACAACCTAACCCCTAAGGTTGTGTTTTATATCTAGCCACCTGGAATCAGTGGGGCACTGTGGCTTCCTAGCTAGTTTGTGCGCAAGCACCATGCAGAGCCCATCTGCAAGGACTCAAATACACCTCCACCTTGCTCCTTTGCCCTAAATCAGCAGAGGAAATTGAAGACTGTCAGCTTTTTAAACTCCTCTAGTGGCTTCTATGCATGTCTGCCTTCCGCATGATGCTGCTGGACTGCAACTCCCATCTGGCCTTGCCAGCGTGGTCAATGGTCAGGGATGGTGGGGGCTGTAGTCCAAGAACATCTGGAGGTCCACAGATTCCCCACTCGTTGCAGATAGCATGGGAGTGGACTCGATTCAAAGCCCGTCTGAAGAGAAGCTCCTCTGTAAGGAGAACAGCTCTCACTCATGTTACTGAAGCTTGTGCAGGAGAAATGAATTGAACTCCATGTTACTTGGCTGGAGACAGAGAATACCCACTTGGATTCCCTCTTTCAGTGCACCATTGTAGTTCCGTCCTGCATGAACATTTCCTTGGTTTGTTCCTTGTCATTTGAATAGATTAATATAGACTTGTCAGGTCGGAACCCTACAACTGTACAACTTCTTGCATATTCTTAAAGCTTTCTGGTTTTGAAAGTGCTGGAGTTCATCGACGACAAATCCCTGCCATTCCAAGCCGTATCTGGCTCACATCCTCCACAAAGTTAGTGTTTAGAAAGAAATACCAGAATTGGAAGAACAATGTGAGCTGGGGAGCTGGAACTACGAAAAGCAAGCAAGTATATCAGAATTAAAACACAGTTGTGTTCCAGGTCAAACACGGCTGTTTTGACAAGCCTAGGCCCAACGGCTCAAACACAGAAGATGTGGCAAAGTTAGCTGCAATTTCCCCAGCCAACTCAGTAAGCATCCTGGGTCATTTTCAAGGCTTGTCTTAACACAAAGTAACATGAAGCTATTGTTTTAAGAAGAAGATTCCAGACTGGAGTGCCATTTTCCTAATTATATTTCTCTGCATATCCTTAAAAAAACGAGACCTTCAGTCCAAAGCAGAGATGGTCTTGATCTGACCTGCTGTTTTAGGCATGGGTAGTACTTGCCATTCTTCATGTTTCTTTACACCAACATACATCTGCATAGATGTCAGTCTGCCAACATGTAACATATTACCCTTATTATAGCTTATACACCCATTCTGAGTTGGCTCTATAAGACACTGGAAGCCTACAATGGTGAGGAATGCCCACTGGAGATAAAACTTAAAATGCCGTTGTATTCGCATTTGTTGTTCCTTGTGGAGGTGGACAGAATAGCCACCTCTTTTAATTAGCATCACCTTTTCTTTACTGCAGCATATATTTCAAAGGAGAATGCAAAGGATTTCAATACACTATTGGCAAGACTATATAGGCACTTTGGAGCTCTCCAGCGTCGAGATATGAGCATCTGTTATCCCCCCCCCAATAACCTCAAAATGCAGAAATGATTCACTTTGCTTAGTTGCACATACAGCGCTACTCATCCGCAATCTGGCTGCTGTAAGGGAGATAAGTAATATGGTCAAACAGCAACTGCTCTGAGATTATGCAGCAGGAAAGAAAGCCTTCATGTTAACATTCAAGGAATTCAGCAGTAAAACTCCCTAATTAATAACTTTTCTCTTGGACTAGGAGAGAACCAGCCAATTAGTAAATGGACATGTCCGGAAACAAGTCCCGCATAAATATTACTTGCCCTTCTCTACAGGTTCTATTGTCATTCATATAACCCAGTGGGTGAAGAAATCCTTCCAGCTTGAAAAACTGGAATGTATAAAGAAAACCTGGTGATAAAAATGATTAAGCTTCAAGTAATAATACAGATGTTGCCACAGGGCACTGTCCCTCTTTGGCCCCATGGCTTACACCGTGTATGTTTTGTTTAAAGTGCTCTTTAGATTTCTGGATAGCTTTGAGTTCATATCCTCTGACCTAGATCCTTCATATGAGCCCAGCACAGCTGAATAGGAGGTCATAGTAGGGAGGACGGGAGAACCAGAAAAATGAGGCACTTGTTTTTCCCCCTTCTGCTTCCAGATGTTTTTCATTTGTGAGAAATACAATGTCCCTCCAGCTCATCTGGACTCAGATGCTTGTTATATAGATGACTGCAGGAGGATCGTTTCTGTTTGGCCCCTGTTCTGTTGGCACTTCCATGTATTTTCCCCTGGAGGGGACCTCTGGGGACAGCAGCTTATGGGTCTCTTTCAATTTGTTCTTTGCTTTCATAGTGCAGAAGCTAAGACCCATGAAGACAGCAGACGTTACCATGAAGAAGGTGGAAGCATAGAAGACGTAACTATAGTGGCCCGTGATATCCACAAGAAGACCTGGAACAGAAAAAAGTTCAAATCTCAATGGCATACAGAAGTGCAACCTTCCACTTTTTAATAGGATTCCATTCTCCTCCAAAACGCTCACAACCACATACAGTGAGGGGGGGGAGTATTTGATTCCCTGCTAAATTTGCCCTCTGGCGAAGAAATGACCAGCCCATAATTGTAATGGTGGGTTTATTGTAGCTGTGAGAGACAGAATAACAACAGGAAAAACCCCCAGAAACCCAGAAGACAAAAGTCAGAGATTGATGTGCATTATAGTGAGTGAAATAAGTATTTGATCCCCTATCAACCAGCCAGATGTCAGGCTACCTGGTATCTTCACTGTATGTAACAAGCTGAGATTAGAAGCACCTGCTGTAAGGGAGAGGTATTACCGTATTTTTCACCCTATAGGACGCACTTTTCCCCCTCCAAAAATGAAGGGGAAATGTGTGTGCATCCTATGGGGTGAATGCAGGCTTTCGCTGAAGCCTGGAGAGCGAGAGGGGTCGGTGCGCACCAACCCCTCTGCTCTCCAGGCTTCGCAGACCTCTCCGCAAGCAGCGGGAGCTGAAGCCTGCACATGCTGAGCTCAGCGCGTCCAGGCTTCGCGGACCTCTCAGCAAGCAGCGGGAGCCAGCGCTGGGCTCCCACGGCTTGCAGAGAGCTGCCTGTTTGGGGGCTGGGGTCGGGGAAAATAATTTTTCCCCTTTATTCCCCCCCCCCCAAAAAAAACTAGGTGCGCCTTATGGGACGGTGTGTCCTATAGGGTGAAAAATACAGTACCTGTAATCCCAGCTAGTTACAGTACCTGTACAAAAGACACCTGTCAACAGAAGCAATCAATCCAGCAGATTCCAAACTAGCCACCATGACCATGACCAAGACCAAAGAGCTGTCCAAGGATGTCAGGGACAAAAAAAAAAATACTTTCCCCCCCTCACTGTACAGATGACCTCATCCAGCAGCAAATGCAGCTGCCTCTGGTCTCCCCACCCGAAAGGTATTTCTACACTATAAACATGATCCCAATTTAACTGTCTTTGCTTCCCCACCCACCACAATATATACCGTATTTTTCGCCCTATAGGACGCACTTTTCCCCCTCCAAAACGGAAGGGGAAATCTGGGTGCGTCCTATGGGGCGAATGCAGGCTTTCGCTGAAGCTTGGAGAATGGTATTTATGAATTGTGGTTTGGCGATTCTGCTGAGATCTGTTCCAAATCTTAATGCCCCATTCCCAGAAGAACTAGTTTCCAGGATCCCTAGGGCAAGGGAATATAAGTCGGTGGTGAAGATAGGACCAAACTGTTTTTGGTCCTAGTATCTGTTCTTTGCCACCATGGTGTTGGTAGCAACCAACCACTGCCTCATCACTTTCTCATAGCCCAATAGGTGATTCTTTGTTTGCTTCTTTCCAAGAGACATTTGGAGGCTGGCAAGGAGAGAACATTCTGTAAGTGCCTCCCCACCCCCATTGTGGAATGCTTTCTCCAGAGAGGCATGGCTAGCAAAGTCTTTATCCTCATTTCAGTAAGACATTTGCATTCTCCTAGATATTTAGATGGCAGTAATGGTCAGGGTTTGGTTGTCTACAGTTGTTCTCCATTCTTGTGAGTGAGATGGTTATTTTATGTTGTTAGGTGCTGACCTTTAAAGCCCTAAACGGCCTCGGCCCAGTATACCTGAAGGAGCGTCTCCACCCCGATCGTTCTGCCCGGACACTGAGGTCCAGATCTGAGACCTTCTGGTGATTACCTCACTGCAAGAAGTGAGGTTACAGGGAACCAGGCAGAGGGCCTTCTCGGTAGTGGTGCCCGCCCTGTGGAATGCCCTCCCATCAGATGTCAATGAAATAAACAACTATCTGACTTTAGAAGAAATCTGAAAGCAGCCCTGTTTAGGGAAGTTTTAAATGTTTGATCTTTTATTGTGTTGGGTATAAATAATAAATAATAAATTGTTGTTGTTCTGAATTCTGCACCAGTAGCTCTTTTCAGGCATTTTGCTTAAACATAAAACCCAAGATGCTGAGTGGGGAGGCAAGTGTGTTAAGTTCTGCCTCCTTTCTACATCACCATCACATTCCACAAGTTGGAAGGTGAACTTCTGAAGCAGGGAGTCTCCTGTATTCATGGAGGCTCCTTGCATGTACCGTATTTTTCGCCCCATAGGACGCACTGGCCCATAGGACGCACCTAGTTTTTTTTGGGAGAAATAAAGGGGGAAAATTTATTTCCCCTCCAGGCACGGGGCTGGGGCGGGGGATGCCCGAGCTTCCCCCAACCCCAGCCCCCAGAACAGGCTGCTATCCGCAAGCCTAGGGAGCCCGGTGGGAAGTCGCACCGGTCTCCCCAGGCTTGCGGATATCTGTCCCCCGAGCTTGTGGTGCTGGTGGTGGGGAGAAGCGCACTTCTCCCCAGTGCCAGCCTCCAAACCAGGTCGGGGAATAGCGGGATGGTGGCGCTCTGCCTCCCCGCTGTCCCCCGAGCTTGTGGGGCTGCCCAATATCTGTGCAGCGCGCCCCAGGCTTTGGGATGCAGGCTACTATCCACAAACCTTGGGAGCCCGACGGGAACTCCCGCGGAGCTCCCAAGGCTTGTGGATAGCTTCCTGAAGACTGCATTCGCCCCATAGGATGCACACACATTTCCCCTTCATTTTTGGAGGGGGAAAAGTGCGCCCTATAGGGCGAAAAATACGGTAATAGAAAACCCTGGGCAGTCAACCAATTTGATATTTCCTTCCTGTGGCCTTTGGTCTATTTTTGTAAAGCCTGGTAAAACTGCTGCATCATAGTTTGCTCATCAAAGAATTATCTCTATTTGACGTCTTTTTAAAAATGCATTGAATTTCACATGTTTACTTGCTCCATAGAGCCTTGAAACTCTGGCTCTGAAAGGTCACCAGATAATCGAAAACAGCCATCTGGCTTCTCAAACCGCATGGCAACAGGCAAGAATAGTCAGAGTGTCTGATGGCTGATTCGTACTATGAGCCAATTGTGTTGGATGTGTGTACCCAAACATTTGTTGCAGTGAATAGCACACAAATTGTAAGAATAGGAGAAACACACTAAGCAACAACGGGGAGGGTGTGTGGAAATATCCACAGGGGTTCTTTTGTTTTAGGATGGAACTGGCCTGAACTTTTTCAGCTCTTCCTCAAGGACATTAAAATACAAAGGTAAACATGTAGGGTAGAATCCAAACTTCCCATGAGCTGAGTTTTGCTCACAGAAAGAGCACTCCCAGCACCCACCTACAGAAAAGTGGGGGAAAGGTTATTTTTGCTGATTCTTTGAGCAACTCTTCACAATCTGGAGCAACCTTCCCAAACTTCCAGATATTTTGGATCACAACACCCATCAGCCCTTACAATTAGCCATGCTGGCTGGCAGGGCTGATGGGAGTTTTAGTGCAAAGCAACTGGAGGATACCAGGTTAGGGAAAGGCTGATCAAAAGAAGGGATAGCCAACATGGAGTGTCTAAAGCAACCACTGTGCCTCAGTGCTTGCCATTTCAAGGCTGTAGTAGTTTTACCTGCAGGGAAGTCTATGACCCCTGCCAAATTCTGCTGAAGTTCTTGCACTTGCGGAATACCCAATGTCTCAGGCCCTGCCCACATCTTACCTGCAAGAGGGGGTCCAATGAGAATGGTGACACTCTCCAAGATGGTGAAGAGACCCAAGGCACTGGAGAACCTGTCCATCTCTACCACATCCATTAACACCTGGAAGAGAAGAGCACCGATGACACTCATGGAGACACTGTAGACCAAGCAGTAGAAGACAAGGACGGTGTAGTCAGCTGAGATTGCGCAGATGAGGTTGCTCAGGCCGTTGAGGAGGACAGCCAGGCTAAAGAGGTAGATCCTCCGGCCAGTGAAGACGTTGAGGCCTGAGAGCAGGCCCGCCATGGGGCGCATGAATATGTTGATGAACCCAATGATGGAGATGAGCAGGGCTGCCTTGCGCTCCGGCACTCCATTGAAGATGGCGTAAGGCACCAGGTAGATGAGGGGCAGCACGAAACCCATCACCATCCAAGACACGCCAATGGTGTAGATCTGGTAGCCTTTGTTCTTGCAGAAGACGTCAAAAGCCAGGTACTTCTGTAGGGTCTGGATGCAAGAGGCACACCTGGGCCGAGGCAGTTCCTTTTCATGATGCACAGTGTTTCCATTAGACAAATAGGCCCCTTCAGGTGGCTGTTCAGGGTAGGGCTTTGATGATGGGGCAGGCAGCTGGACTGGCACCACCGGCCTCATCACAGCCCCACAAACGCAGCAGTTCAGCAGCACCCCGCCAAAGATGAGGAAAGTGTTTCTCCAGCCCATCTCGTCAAGCATGTACTGGGAGAACAGTGGCCAGAGCGTGAGGCCAATGGAGACACCTGTGGAGGCCAGAGCGTTGGCCAGGGCTCGACGGCGTATGAAGTAGTAGCCAAGCACAGTGACTCCAGCCTGGAAGCTGAAACATGACCCCAAGCCTTTAAAGAAAGAAGAGATTCAAGAATGTGAATTTGGAATGTTGGAGTTTTAGATATATTGTGTGATTATCAAGCACTTTTAAGGTGTTCAGAACACATTACATGAATTAGTTCAGTGGCCCTCTAAGGCCAGGGCAACCAGTCTAAGGAGGATGGAGGCAAAACAGTCTCCCTGCCCCAGTTTTGAGACCACATGAGATCTTTATTCAAGAGCAGCTATATTTTACAGCACCTCAAGCGTTGTACACAATCAAAAGTATAACAACAATAGTAATGTATATGGTCAAGAACTCTCCTATTTATGAATGTACTTAAAGGTTAGCAAAAAAAAAAAAAAAAGAAGTATTTGCACTTTTCTATGCTTGGACAAAAACAGAAAAGAGAAAACGCAAGTCGCATTGCCCACTAGACAAAAATCTTATGAAATAGGAGGTCTTATATTTCCAAATATGATACCATTATTTTCAATCTACAGAGGAACCTTGGTTTTCAAGTGTCTCGAAAGCCAAATAATTGAGCCAAATAATTGAGAACCCGAATGCCAAAAAGCTCTTAAGTAAAGCTCTTAAGTAATTACGTTCGAAAACCAAGGTTCCACATTATATTGAAAAGTACTATTAAATGGTATGATAAACTAAACCATCCTCAAGGACAGTTCATTGAGCAGAGCTGTGTTGAAATCCAATTATAATATGATGGGCTTATAAGAAAAATGATGTACAACAGACACTAACTGCTTTACCAGGAGGCGTCTGCATATGGAGGAGGAGGGGAGGAAATTTTTGACTATTCCCTATCCTTCAAGCAATGCCCACCTCCCCAAAATAAATCTGTTGTGGAGGGTCCCCCAAATGGCAAGAATCACCTCTCCTTCTCTTCCGTGAATGTATACCTCCACTGGCACACTGCGCTCCTTCCCCAATCCTGTTGTTATGGTGCTACCCAGGGCTAAGCCATGGTTTGGCCTCACATTATATATACCGTATTTTTCGCTCTATAGCAGTGTTTCCCAACCTTGGGCCTCCAGCTGTTTTTGAACTACAATTCCCATCATCCCTGACCACTGGTCTTGCTGGCTAGGGATGATGGGAGTTGTAGTCCAAAAACAGCTGGAGGCCCAAGGTTGGGAAACACTGCTCTATAGGATGCACTTTTTCCCCTCCAAAAATGAAGGGGGAAAGTGTGTGCGTCCTATGGAGCGAATGCAGGCTTTAGGCAGCTATCCGCAAGCCTTCAGAGCTCGGCGGGAGTTCCCACCGGGCTCCGAAGGCTTGCGGATAGCAGTCTGTTCTCCACAAGCCCTCTGAGCGCGGCAGGAGTTCCTGCTGGGCTCTGAAGGCTTGCGGATAGCAGCCTGTTCTGGGGGCTGGGGTCGGGGGAAGCTCGGGCTTCCCCCGCCCCATCCCTGTGGCTAAAAACAAAGCCGTGCATAACCTCTCCCGGCTGGAGAGGGTGCGCGTGGCTAAAGAGGAAGCCAAGACAGCCAGCGGGATGGATCCCGCTCGCTGTCTTGGCTTCTTTGCTCTTTGGGTCTTGGGGGAGGGGGAATAACCCCCCCTTTATTTCCCCCCCTAAAAACTAGGTGCGTCCTATGGAGTGAAAAATACAGTAAATCTTTCGTTCCAGACAAAATATGAACTATAACCAAGGTTACAGTCTCTACTGAGAGGGGCAAACCACAAACCGAGGTTGGAACATAACACTAAGCCAAGCCATGGTTAAGCCCTTGGTAGCAGGAATGCAGCAGCCCCCATCTCCTGCCTAGGAACTCACACATTTTCTCATTCGTGCTAAGCCACAGCTTGGCTGAGTGCTGCATGTGAACTGGGGCACCATGTGTTACAAAACCCGGACGAAGCTTCTGCATACCAACCCACGTGGAGACTCTACTCACCTGTGATGAATCCTGCTGTTATGTAAAGGTGACTAATGGACTTGGAGAAAGCACTGGCAACCATGCCCACCCCGCTGAGAAGGCCTCCAAGCATCACAGTGGTCCTGCAGCCAAATCGTTCCACCAAAATGCTGCAAAGAGGCCCTGAAAAAGCAAACTTCAGCGTCAATCAGAGCAGGAGGAGCGCTGTCAAAATACAAGGCTGTGGGCCCCTCCCAGGTAATAGCAGTCGTCACCCACATAACCCAAGGCTATGTTATGCAAAAGCAGAATTGTAAAGGTCAAGAAGATACTCCTGCACCACTGTCTAAACTTTCTGCTCAGAGTATCAACACTAATGTTCCAAAGCAAATATTTATGCCTTCTTGCCGGTAAGTTCATGCAGTAGGCCTAGTCCAAAGTGGGAAAAGGTTGGAGGCGGGGGCAGAGAAGATAATGTGGACCGCAATTTGTGTACAAACCACTCAGAATAAAAGCAAATGCCAAGGGGAAGAGGTAGCAGCACTTACAGTGTGGGCAAGACAGGACATGTGAATGCAGCCTCCGTGTGGTGAACAATGCGCTGGGTTTCAGTGTGGGAGATGTAAGAAGGGATGAATCCATATTTCTGTAAACTAATATGGCCTTTCCGGAGGGAGCTGGGGAGCAATCTGAATAAGCGCGATTTGTTTGGCAAGATCTAAACAAACTCAAGCAAAATATGCTCCTCAGCAAAAGGGAGGAAGGCTGTGGTCTGTGAACTGCCTTACATATACAGTACTGTATAATGATGACAACTGGGCTACCAACTACCTGGGTACATAATATATTCAGTAGCATATTTAAGATACCATAGCTTTTTTTGGTCCAACAGATGCCTCTCTGGTAATAGGAATTGCCCCCCAGAACTTGATTTCCTCAGCAAGTTCTCAGGTAAGCAGGAGAAGAACAGGAAGTGGCGTTTGCCCTTTACGTGACTTAAATTACTGTTTAAACATGACCTTCTTCTGTGTTTGTGTTTGTGTGTGTGAAGATGTCTTTTCCAGAGGAAATAAATCCCAACCCCAATCAAATCCTGTCAATAACCCAACATATTCCCACCCATCCCCGACATTTATTGGAAAGCTTTCTCTCATTACTTTTATTTCTTGCCAAAAGCAATTTTCTGAAGCCAAAAGGCTTCATTTGCAGTTGGCTATGACATTTTTTTTGGGGGGGGGAGGGGTTTCAAATTAGCCCCTCTTACAATATAGGTCCTCACAGACTAGTAGAGGTGTGGTCATTGCATACATAACCAGCAGGTGAGATGTTGCTGGTGGGACACAGTCCAGTTTCCCCCCTCAGCATGTGAGGGGGTGTTTGCCTGAATACACCTATGAAGACTCCTTGGGCAACCTCAGTTTCACAGATTGAGGCTCCTTGGTTGAATATACAGTGGTACCTCAGGTTAAGTACTTAATTCGTTCCGGAGGTCCGTACTTAACCTGAAACTGTTCTTAACCTGAAGCACCACTTTAGCTAATGGGGCCTCCTGCTGCTGCCACGCCACCGGAGCACGATTTCTGTTCTCATCCTGAAGCAAAGTTCTTAACCTGAAGCACTATTTCTGGGTTAGCGGAATGTGTAACCTGAAGCGTATGTAACCTGAAGTGTATGTAATCCGAGGTACCACTGTATAGCCTTGCATATATGAGGTTGTAGGTTTTATTTCTGCTTTAAGATCTCTAGGTTTTTAAGGGACATAAGGGCATGGGCTGGCCCTTTGCTCTCAGGCCACCAACTTCTGACTTGGAAAATTCTGGTGCCTGGGTGGGATCATAGCCTGAATGCTATGACCAAGTCTTAAGAGCGTGGAGTCAGTGACCTTTGAGACCCCTTTTTTCTTCCTCATGTGGAAGTAGGATGTAGAAGCATGGTCCTCAATTGACTAGCAAACTCAGAGGAAACTCAAAGCAAATATTTGCGGAAAAATGAGATGGTTAAAGATGATATGTTCAAAAATACAATAATAGTTTTGACTCCGTGCTAGCATTTGAGTGACAAAGGAAGTAAAAGGAGGTGGATAACAATTAAGGATTTATTATGTTTTCTGAATGTATTGGAAAATTTATATAGAAAGGTTTATTGTTTTGTGTACATTCAATTGTAAGATAAAACATATGCGAAGGGACTTGACAGGAAGTCAAAAGTGAAGAAAAGATTTTGTAAGATAAAAGGGGGGAAATATTTATTTTCATTATTATCATTATTATTCTTTGTGTGTGTGTGTGTGTGTGTGTTTTGTATGGGATGTTTGGGAGGAAATAAGACGGTAAATAACAAATAACAAACAAAATATTGATGTATGTAATTTTTATTTCTCAATTGTATTTTGTGGTAGTATGGTTGTAATGTTTTTTGTAATATAAAATCATTCAATAATTATTATTTTTTTAAAAAAGAATGTAGAAGCACGGTCTGCGACTGGAAAAATTGTAGAGTCCCTCCAGAGTTTTTTTTAAAAATTGTTTTACAGATGTATTCTGCAACATAGTGGAGCAGCAATAAAACTGCTTGCACATTTGCAAAGCTAAGCAGGGTCCGGTACCATTTCAAATTGGATGGGGGACCACGTGTTGAGATGCCTGCATTGCAGGAGGTTGGACTGGATGATTCTTGGAGTCCCTTCCAATGCTATGATTCTATGAAACATGTCATTGACACAATAATTGTGTATTGGAGGTGGACTTATACTGGGCCACACACAAATAATTTCACTTTACTAGTTGCTCTGCAATGCTTCCTCAAAGATGCCACATTATTGCTGCCTGGAAGGGCAATTGGGTCTTGCACTACAGTGCAATGAGAGTGGGACAAAAACTAACAACAACACGGGAACATTTATGGTATGAAAAGTTAGAAGATTTCAGCAGGAAGCTACAGGACACGCACTGGTTGGAAATGAAGCAGTATGCCCACCCCAAAAACTTTTGCAAGTGCAAACAGCATTGAATGTGGGATCATGTATAACAACCCCAGTACCATCAAATGAGCAAATCATCATTTAGGGTTGTTAAGAGCTTTAACACTCCTGGCAGGGCTCCTGTACCTTTAACAGCAGGTTTTTGTCCAACTATTAAAGGAGCATAAAATCCGCTAGGCCCAGAAAAGATCTCAGACTTGTTGCCATTCATTTATAGTGCTAAATTAGATGGACCGTTACCCCAACTCCTCATAAAGAGGCTTTTAAAATTAATTCTTACCTAATACCTGGAAGAAGGGTAAGTCAAAAGCTGGCACAAAGCCTAACGTTTAAGGTTGCCCTCTAGCCTGGCTGCTCCTGAGCTTTTAATAGAGATCTGATCTGGAGAAATAACCAGGTGATGGGTGCCTCCAGGCTGCCAGTATTTTGCAGAAGGGATTCAGGCAATTACCGGAGCTTGAAATATGTGCAATTAAAGTGGACTGAAGTGCACATAGGCTATCAATGGCCACTAGCCATTGATCCAGTGTCTGGCTGGCAACCCAGCCGGATGGGCGGGGTATAAATAATAAAATTATTATTATTATTATTAATTAGTCATGATGACTATGCTCTGCTTCCATGGCTGGAGGGAGAAATGCTTCTGACTACTAGGAGCAGGAAACTGCAGCAGGGGAAAGCACTGTTGCACTTGGGCCCTGCTTCCGGGCCACTGGTCTGATCCAGCACAGTCTTCTTATGTTCTTATGCTCTCTAGGGCAGCCTTTGCCAACCTGATGCCCTTTCAGATGCTTTGGACTACAAGTCCCATCAGCCCCAGCTAACAAAACAAAACAAAACAAAACAACAGGACTTTTTGCAGGTTGGAAAGCACAACCAGAAAAGTACAGGATGAACTAATGACTAACACAATTGAGAATAAATGCCCCGTTATCATGTAAGCACCCCACATCAAATCAGAACAAATGCTCAATAAAATAGCAGATATAATCTTTTGTGTGGGCAACCCAGGGCAAATGCTCGATAAATAGGTTGCCTGGGAGAGCCCTTTGTTTTTCATGAAATTGCCTGCCAGATCCCTGTTAAAGGCACAGGAGCAGGTTCTGCTCAGACCCAGCAATGCTGTACAGACTTGAATTCTTACACCAGTGAGTAGTTTCTTCCTTGTGAGGCTGTCAGCTCATCTGCAGGGCCCTGGTTGGAACAGATCGAGAACCAGCCTGCTTCTTCCTGTGTGGCCTTGGGATTTCCTAACTGCTCACGTTTCCCAGGACTGGTGAGCATGAAGGGGAAGGTTCAGCCCCAGGTGTCACCTGCCTCCTTTCCCCTAAGTCCCACACTGTTTACAGAGTGAGCACAGGGAAGAAACACCCACAGACAAAAATGAATAAAAATTAGTCAGCACAAAGGAAGGGTGGATGTCGTCCTGGAGATGGGTGGATTGGTTTCACCCTTGCACACAGATAGCTTGAACTGAAACTTTTTTTTTTAAGGGCAGATTTATAGAACAACAAAACTACTTGGTTTATTGCAATGTTAGGCTAAGAGACTAACACTGACCCCAAAGTCACCTAGAGAGTGTCATGGCTAAGTGCAGGATCTGAACCCTGCTCTTGCTGACCCTGAGGAGGGAAAGTACCTAAGGAGTTTAGCTTTCTCTACATAGAGGCACAGGCCGGACTGGAAAGGCTTGGGGGTTGGTTTGTTTTCTTGCCAGGGTTTAAGAGTTTAAGACCTCAGGAAATTTCAGCACATTGAACAGCTTCTGGATGTTGGGAAACGACACCCTGCTTGTTAAATGTTCAGGAGCTAACAAAGATGTTGGCAACCCTAGACAGACCTCAGGGCATACATGGTCACCCGCTGATTTGTAAATAGCTCTTTTAAAGACACAGGACCAAGCCAGTCCCTTTTCCTGGCTCATTGCCAAACCCTAGATTAACACAGGAGCCAGGTATACATTTATTTTTCTTATGCGACGCTAAACTTTTACCCATTTTCTAGGTTAACTGAATGGGGTATAGGGCTGCCAACTTTTTCTCTGGGCAGGGCTTTGTGCTTTCAACTGCCAGGTGTTAAAGGCACAGCAGCCTTGCCAGAAACAAGTTGGCAATCCTACTCATGCTGCTGTTTGAAGAAATCTGAGTGTTTTCCCTTTGCTCAGCTCAACATGATCCTATTACATGATTAATCACTGTGACTGCTTAAATCTCTCTTCCACCTTATCTCTAGTTTATGTAAACCTCCCAGTCATGTGGACTGTGAGGGTACATATATAGAACAAACTAAATTTACGCAGAGTGCTGCAGCAACAGAGCAATGTGGCAGGCAGTGCCAGGTCAGTGTGACTGGGTAGCCTAAGAGCTCAAATCCTTCGAGGGTTTTTTCTCCCTGGAAAAAGTTGCTCTGATTGCAGCAGGAATTATTGATGATGATGATGATTTAATTTGTACCCTGCCCATCTGACTGGGTTGCCCCAGCCACTCTGGGCAGCTTCCAACATATATAAAGCATAATAAAACATTAAACATTAAAAAAAATAACCCATTCCCTATACAGGGCTGCATTCAGAGGTCTTCTAAAGGTTATATAGTTTCTTATCACCTTGACATCTGATGGGAGGGCATTCCACAGGGTGGGCACCACTACCGAGAAGGCCTTCTGCCTGGTTCCCTGTAACTTGACTTCTCACACTGAGGGAACTGCCAGAAGGCCCTCGGAGCTGGATCTCAATGTCCTGGCTGAACGACGGGGGTGGAGATGCTCCTTCAGGTATACACAGCTAAAGCCATCCAGGGCTTTAAAGGTCAGCACCAACACTTTGAATTGTGCTTGGAAATGTTTTGGGAGCCAATGTAGGTCTTTCAAGACTGGAGTTATATGGTCCTGGAGGCCGCTTCCAGTCACCAGTCTGGCAGCCACATTCTGGATTAGTTGCAGTTTCTGAGTCACCTTCAAAGATAGCCCCACATAGAGTGCATTGCAGTAGTCCAAGTGGGAGATATCCAGAGCATGTACCACTCTATCATGACAGTGCGCAGGCAGATAGGATCTCAGCTGGCGCACCAGAGCAGGAGCTTAGAAAGGGGAGTGCGGGGTGTGTGGTCTGCCCCAGGTGTCATCCTTCATGGGGTGACAAAATGGCAGACCACAGGGGTCAGAACTTACCGTGGGGCCTGGCATGCAGCGTGCCCGAGCCACGTGTCTCTCCTGGGAGTGGCACAGTGGCTTGGGGCCCCACGCTGCCCAAAATGGCAGCATGGGGCTTGCGTCCACCAGGTGGGCTCTGTGTGCAGCTCGCTGCACTGCCCCCATGTGTGGATCGCTGCGGCGCCCCCATGGACGGATTCCTTGCCCCCACTGCTCCAGGTGCCGGAGCAGCTAGCTACGCCCCTGACCAGATGGAGCTGGTAGACAGCCGCCCTGGACACAGAATTAACCTTCATGGACAGCTTTGAGTCCAAAAGGACTCCCAGGCTGTGACCTGGTCCTTCAGGGGCACAGTTACTCCATTCAGAACCAGGGAGTCCCTCATACCTACCTGCTCCCTGTCTCCCAGAAACAATACTTGTGTCTTGTCAGGATTCAACCTCATCCCATTAGCTGCCATGCATCCTCCCACTGCCTCCAGACACTCCCACAGGCCGTTCACCACCTTAATCTTTAATTTCTCTGTGCTATAACTTCATTGCTTGTTTATGGCCTCCATCCTTTGCATGAGGTGCAAAATACATAGTAGCCAAAGGCACAGATTAATACCTAACCTGAGGAAAGAGTAAGCTAATGGCATGTTCAAGACATGCTGTTGCATTTATCAGGAGTCTGTTGTATAGAGGTGTCATATATCAATAAAACCAGGTAAGCACAAGATGTACTGTAATTTCGTTTCCCTTTTTCCCATCTAGCACAGGCTTCCTCAACCTTGGCCCTCCAGATGTTTTTGGCCTACAACTCCCATGATCCCTAGCTAGCAGGACCAGTGGTCAGGAATGATGGGAATTGTAGTCTCAAAACATCGGGAGGGCTGAGGAAGCCTGCTCTAGAACCTGAGGCCACTCAATAAAGCTGAATGTTGACCTGTTGTGCGGATTTGAACCGCTGACCTTCTGATCGGCAAGATCAAGAGGCTCAGTGGTTTAGACCACAGCGCCACCCGCTCCCCTACCAGTAGCTGGGAATCACAAGTGGGGAGAGTGCTGTTGCACTCAAGAACTATCTGTAGGCTTCCCAAAGGCATCTAGCTGGCCATTGTGTGAACAGGGTGCTGGACTAAATGAGACACTGGCCTGATCCTGCGGGGCTCTCCTTAAGTCTCCAGGTTGTATTTGGCATCTGTGTAGTAATAGTGAAGTGGGCTGAAACAGACAAGTCTGTACAAATCAGGAAGCTAAGTCGAGCAACAGCTTTTAGATGGGTTTCATTGACTGAGGACTTTCTGTGAGTTGTACTTTGGGCTGTGTCAGAAGCTGAGATATAAAAGCTAGGAGCTCCATGGCACCTTAAACCTAGCTTATGGGCACAACAACGGAATGGCTAGGTGCGCTTTTTTAATAATAAGAATAAAAAATAAGAATTTTTTATAATAAGAATACAAAGCTGAAAATGAATGAACTGCAGCTAAAATATTATGTTCCCTTTTTACATGGTCTACTCCTTCCCCTGCCCACCCCACTAATATTCTTAGGAGGGTCTCTTCTCCGGTCTTCAGAGTAGCTGGAAGTGGGGAGGCAGGAAAAGGTCCTTCTTTCCTCCCACTCTGCAGTTTTAATCGAAATCTTAGGTGCAGTACTGCGCCCAGAGCTCAGAAACTGCTCGTGCTAATGAAATTCCCTGTCGCAAAATATGCCTAGAACAATGGGAGTTTCCAACACTGACTTTGGGTGCCTTTTGCGAAGGATGTTCATATAAGTAAAAGCAAACACTCACCCCCTGCATGGAGCACAGCTGTCATGATGGAAGGAAACCATGATGTCTGGCTGTTGCTAGCCTGGAAATCACGCTGCAGGTCCTTGAAGAAGACCCCAGTGCACGAAGGGAAGCCCAGCGTTAGGCCTTGAACAATCACGGTGGCGACTAAGACCACCCACGCCCATCCTCGATCCTGGTCTTTGGAGATCCTAGCGGCTGCCTCTTCTTCTTTGGGCATTGTTATTTTTTTCCTGAGCAAGCCTCGTTAGAGGAAAATGCACAAACGAAAGTGATGCAGCAGCTGCAAAGAAGACAGAAAAAAAGAGTTGCTGAAAAATAGAAGAATTTGTTGTGCTTCTCTAGAGAGCTTCTCAGTTCTGGTGTCACCAGCCTGCCTGAGAAAGGTCTGTCATCTCCTTTTATTTCACAAGATTATGAATGCTTCTAGGTATAATGTTAGACACACCTCCAGTGAGGAAAGAGCTAGCTGCTATTACTCAGCACCAGCACCCTGCCAGTTTTCCCTTTCACCTGCTTTCGGTCAATGGAATCCCCTTGCTGCCTTTATCTAATGTCATAAAATTCTTGTGCCAAGACAAGAAGGCTCTGCCCGTAAATGCCAATCCCAGTGTAAAGTCTGTACAGTTCTGCTGAGAATTAAGTTGTAGTGACTGCTCTTGCACAGGTTCCTGTCCGAGTTGCCCTGTTTGTCCCAGGATAGAACAGAAAGTGCCTTTCACTTTCAAGCGGCGATAAAGGCCCCTAGGACATGTTCACATGTTACATCTGCATTGATTTTTATTTTTCCTTTAACTCTAATGTAATATTTACAATGTCTGCAAGTTACACCTGCTCTACAAAATGCATTTATTCTCCCGTCCAGCCTACATAAAAAGCACAAGAGATCCCTTTCCCCAAAAAAGTTGTTTTAAGCATTGGGTGTGAAACCACTTTAAGGAGAGCCCTTTCCGTGAACTGGGTTCCACAGCAAAGAAAAGACATGGGCAACTCAGGTACCTCCAGGGGTCCAGGGCGCTTCCAGACGACCTGTTTATTGAGCATTCGTCCTGATTTGTTTTCTGGGAGGTTAGATGATGTTACATGAAAGCAAGTGTTATTCCCACCCATCCCAGTGCATTTTTCCCCCCATCACAAAAATGTCCAGTCTTTTTGAGAAGGGGATTTGTTGCTCAAGTTTGTAACCTGCATTTGCCGGCATGTGAGTGAATCGCCCCCCAAAATAGTGGCAACTTGGAAGTGCCCTCCAAAATAAATAAATAAAAGAGACCACTGGTTGTTTCCTTTGGAATGCCCCACTCAGTTATGCAGGAGTGGAGACGGGGAAACAGCTTATGCAATGTTTGTTCCATCAGATAAAATATGTGGCACCCTCACTACTCTGATGGTCAGCAGAAGCAGGTACAGAGGAACACGGGTGTTATCTAGGTGACCTCCAGCAGGGCCAGGACTGGCCTGGTCCAGTTGAAAAATGCATGGTTGGCGCACTATTCTATTGCCAAACCTGACGGGCATTTTGCTGGCAGAGAGTCGGAGGAAGAAGTTGGGATGCATGCCTCAAAACTGCCAGGAAATTGCAAGGGTGTCTTCTTCTGTATGTTCCTCTCCCCAGAGTTCCATAAACTAGCTAGTGTAGTGGTCTCCAAGGTATTTAAGGGATCATGTGTTGCCAACAGTCTGTTTTCCAACCCTCAAAATTTCACCAGAAGTAGTGGTACAGTAGTTAATTTTTAATGCCACATAAATGAATCAAAAGCAGGAAGGTTGTCACCCTCTATGGATTCTGCAGCCTGAAATGCCCATTTCGTGTTGCTTCATAGTAACGCTGGTGCTGAATGCAGAACATTGTGACCTCCTTGGTGCTTTGCTACAGCAAGTTCCCAAGGCAGGGGTTATGGAGGTTCTTTTGAGCCTGAACACCAAATCCCCTTATTTCTTAGCTATGGTGCTGAAAACTGATTGGACAAGAAGAAGAAGAGAGAAGAGTTTGGATTTGATATCCCGCTTTATCACTACCCGAAGGAGTCTTAAAGAGGCTAACATTCTCCTTTCCCTTCCTCCCCCACAACAAACACTCTGTGAGGTGAGTGGGGCTGAGAGACTTCAGAGAAGTGTGACTAGCCCAAGGTCACCCAGCAGCTGCATGTGAAGGAGCGGAGACGCGAACCCGGTTCACCAGATTACGAGTCTATCGCTCTTAACCACTACACCACACTGGCTCTTAACCACTCTTAACCACTATAGACACACACCTGTACCAAGAGATAATTTTGTGCCCACTGACTGGCTCCTCTGGTGTGATCTGTCAGTTACACAAGCTAGAAGTTTCAGAGTGGAAGCATTTCACCACCACAGCCACACTTACTGGATTACTGACCCTTTATGGGTGCTTCAGTTTTTAAAATACCATACTCTATTTGCAAGTTACATTTTATTTATACTTAATTTTTAAATACTATGGGGCCAGATATGTGTGTACACACACACACACACACACACACACACGGGGGGGGGGAAACAACCTGTGTGAGATGTAGCTCAATACATGCAACTATTCATCCTGGCTGGAGTTGGTCAGATTAGGGTGATATTGGTATATTTAGACTCTTCCTGCTTTATAGATATATAGTTCTTGCCCCTAGTACTTTAACATTAGCTTAGAAATGTTCATAGTTGTATGGTTCTTACCACCAGTATTTAAATGTTTAGAGAAAAGTGTTCAAAGTGCTGGTACTTGTAAAACAGGTGTAGGCATCCAAAGGGCCAGGGGCTGGATGCGGCCCAATTGCCTTCTCAATCTGGCCCGCGGACGGTTTGGGAATCAGCGTGTTTTTACATGAGTAGAATGTATCCTTTTATTTAAAATGGGTTATTTGTGGGGAATAGGAATTTGTTCATCCCCCCCCCCCCAAATATAGTCCGGCCCACCACATGGTCTGAGGGATTGTAGACCGGCCCACGGCTGAAAAAGGTTGCTGATCCCCTAGTAAAAGTAAAGAGGGACGCCGGTGGTGCTGTGGGTTAAACCACAGAGCCTAGGACTTGCCAATCAGAAGGTTGGTGGTTCGAATCCCCGCGACAGGGTGAGCTCCCGTTGCTCGGTCCCTGCTCCTGCCAACCTAGCAGTTTGAAAGCACGTCAAAGTGCAAGTAGATAAATAGGTACCACTCCGGACTCGGCCAATAAAAATGAGCGCTGCAACCCCAGAGTCGGTCACGACTGGACTAATGGCCAGGGGTCCCTTTACCTTTACCTTTAATCTGTAAAGAAAGCCCAGTGCTCTTATCTCAATATTGCAGACGAGAGAATTGAGACCTAATGAATTCGAGGCTGAGACAAAATTTGAGCCCAAGTTCACTGCTCTGGCTCTCCGCCGGTACACAACACAGCATCTCTGGAGTCATGAGCTGCAACAGCTGCCTCTTTAAAAACACCAACAGCGATACGAAACGGGAACTCCATAACTTGTTGCTCATACCAACCCATGTGGTTCTTTGGAGCCAGTTTCAGGGCTGCCTCCCTTCCTGTCTATACGGAATCAGAAAAATGGCCATCCAGACAAGCGTCCGATTATCAGTTTAGATTTTGTGCAAAGCGGTATTAGAAAGGGGTGGGTTTGCTTCGACCCCCGCACCGTTTTAAGCAGCGGCAATTTCGAAACGGAGTTTCCTTCCAAGGGCTCACCCGAGAGAGATCCCTGCACACCTCGGGGATCCTGAGAAGGCTTATAGCAACTCTCAACTCTGGTGCCGACCGAGAAAGGGATTGATCCGGTTTCGGACCAGGTGTCAGCGGGGGCGGAGGGGAGGGGGCGTCGTCGTTCCTTTCCCTCCCGAAAACAGGAAATCAAGACCAGGCACCCTTCGATCCAGTGCCCTTCGATCACGAAGGGGATCCTTTCTGCGCTTTACCCCCATCCTTACTCCCCCCAGGGACCCCCCTCTGGCCTCAGCTAGGGTGATCGAAGAATCCCCATAAGGAAGTGCAGGGCAGAGGCTGGGATCTTAAGAACTCTCCCCCCCTCCACCCCCCCACCGCGGTCTCGTAGTGATCTTGATCGGGTTCCCCAGCCGATCGCCGCCTGCTCACCTGCTCACGCCCCCCAGGCGGGGCTGCTGCTTCTTCCCTTCCCAGGGGCGACCCCGTGGCCCCTTCCTCTTCGCTCTCCACCCCGCTCCACTTCCTCCAAGGGCCGGCCGAGCTCTCGACTCCGGTTCCCTTTCGGTTGCTTATGGAAGAGGAGGAGGAGGAGGAGACTTGGAAGCCGGAGATCCGAGAGCGTCGCGCGCTGCCAGAGGAGCCCGGGGCGGGCTGAGGTCAAAGGGGGCCGAGGTCAGGCGAGGAGCCCCGAGGGCGGCTCCTGTTCAATAGGGTGGCGAGGAGGAGAGAGGAGCCTATTGTCGCTTTTGCTTAATTTGATTGGGGTCGTGGGATCTGCCTTGGTTCGCGCCCCGCATGCCTTATAGATCTGTTTCCAAAAGTTGTTTTCAAGGTCCTAGATCTCACGGAGGTGGCAAGCCTGTGTCTGTGTGTCGCTTCAGGCTGCAGATGGGGGACTTGTACGTGCTTATCTCACCCTTCCTCCTCGCCAAAGGCGCTTCTCGTCTCCCTCGTTTTATGCTCGTTTCACCTATGCAGGTGAGGCCGAGAGGGGGGGAGGAGAGGGACTGGCCGAAGGTCACCCACTGAACTGAGCAGGGAGAGGCCCAGTGCTGCCATAGCACCATAGGAGCCAAATCTTAGGGGTCCCTTCGGCACCCCTCTCCCCCAATAAAATATTTTAGGGCCCCCCAAAGTTAAGGGGAATTCCCACTCAAATGGGGTGTGTGCCATGTCATGTGATCGATTATGCGGGGCGGGGCTTACCTTCCTCTCCTCCCCCCCCCTCAATATTTTATTCAAGTCCACACCCCTGTATAGCACACTGTCTGATGGAACTGGTACTCCGCACCAAACAAAATGTCCCTGCACATAGAAAACTAGCATGCCAGGATTCTGACCTTGCCTCCCACCCACCCCCAGCATCACACGTTTTCTATTATTGCAGGGAAACAACCCTTGCTTTGCAGCCCAGACACACCTTTCCCAGCTCAGGAAGAAATAAGTAATTAATAGGTAAGTTAATGCAGGGGCGAAACTAGGCTTTATTTCACCCTGGTCAAAGAGCCAGTTTGGCAGAAAAAGAAAAACCCACATGCAGTTGTGTACACACAGAGAGAGACTGCGAATCTCAATGGCACCCCAGGGCAACCCCCCCCAAAAAACCCTGGCTAGCCCTCCCTTAGCTACCACACTGGTTAATGTATTTCTCCCCCAGGCTTGTAATAGACACACACACACACACACAAAACTACCTCATATCATACATAAAAGAAGGTAATAAATTACGATCCAGAATTAAACCCAAGTTTGCTTAGGGCTGCTGGAAATGACAGCAAGGTGGGCACCAGTTTCTGGGGCACCTTTATAAAGCCAGCCTGCCCTGCCTATCAGTGGCTACTAGCCTTTGGCCCCCACAATAAAACATTTGAGGGTACTGGGCCCCCACAAAGTTGATGGGCATTGCCATTCAAATGGGGTGTGTGAGACTGTGTCATATGATACGAGGGGCAAGACTTACCCGGGACTTACCCACAATATTTTATTCAGTTTGGCACCTCTGCATGATGGCTATGTTCTGTCTCCACAGCTGGAGGCAATGTTTCTGAATACCAGTTGCTGGGATCCAGAAGAGGGGGAAGAGTGCTCTTGTGCTTAGATCTTACTTGTGGGTTTCCTTCAGGCATCCAGTTTGCCACTATGAGAACAGGATGCTGGACTAGATGGGTCACTGGCTCTCCTGATGTTCTAATGCAGTCATCTGCCAATTATCAGAGCTAAGAGGTATGTCAGTATTAGGAAATTCACCCCCCCAAAAAAAGGTAAAGGGACCCCTGACCATTAAGTCCAGTCGCGAATGACTCTGGGGTTGCGGCGCTCATCTCGCTTTACAGGCCGAGGGAGCCGGCGTTTGTCTGCAAACAGCTTTCAGGTCATGTGGCCAGCATGACTAAGCCATTTCTGGCAAACCAGAGCAACACATGGAAACACCGTTTACCTTCCCGCCAGAGTGGTACCTATTTATCTACTTGCACTTGACGTGCTTTCGAACTGCTAGGTTGGCAGGAGCAGGGACCGAGCAACAGGAGCTCACCCCGTCACGGGGATTCAAACCGCCTACCTTCTGATCGGCAAGCCCTAGGCCACAGCACCACCCACATCCCCGTCCCCCCAATAATCAGGTATTTTGGAGTAAAGGAAAATATGACTTCTTCTTTGTGGGTATAAAGTATGTTGCCTGTCCTTGACTAATACTCAAATGTAAGCTGGTCCTCCTACAGGACTTGTTGGGGTATATTTTATTGTGACTCTTTTGAAAGCTCAAGGATGTTGGCTACTACACTTCAGAGTCACATACATTAAATAACATTCTAAACAAAGACCAACAAAACACAATGGTTTTTTTAAAAAACAACCTCTATTCCATTCTAACAGACTAAAATAAATTGTAGACCTCTTCTTTCCAGCTCCTTGCTTTCCCAGAAAGGAACATCTGGAAAACTGGCAACTTTACAAGGGGAGGATGTTGTACCTTTATGTTTTCCTTACTAGTAAATATTTAGGTTCCCTTGCACAGGCCTCAAGGATAGAGAACTGAGTGGATAAATTGCAGAAATATTTACATGCACTGAAAATTTGAGTTTCTTGGGGCAAATGAAGCAACTGGAAATGACTCATCTGTGACTGTGTCTCAGCTGTCTAGATTTAAATGTTATCCTCTGAACCTTTGGAACCCTTAATAAAAGGCCTGAAGAGGCTGTTGCTCAAGTCAGTTTTATTCAGATCTGCCGTACTGAATCAGAGACTCATAGTAGAGTTCGAAGGGACACCCAGAGTCGTCTCAGGTGGATCAGAGGCAAATACACAGACCAGAGCAAGTGAGGGATGGGCCATCGCTGCTGAGCATGCCCAAAGGATTGGAGTGAGCCGGCGACCATAGAAGACAGCGGTTTAATGTTGCTCATGGAAGGAGTGGGTGGTCAACAGGAAATGCTGCTCTGTGATCAGACGTCAGCTGCAGGCTGGATGAGGGCAAAAATGGCAGGCACTCTTAGGAATAAGAGCCTCCAGTCCACTTGTAATCGGCATTCTTCTGGTCACTTTGCAAAGCCATTCCCAAAACCTGCAGGTCACTTACAGTCAGCACCCAAATGACGATGCCAGCGTTGGGAAAGGGCAGCATGCCTCTGAGCATGTGCAGAGTGCCCTCCCTCCCCGCCCTGTGCCCCCTGCTTGCAGCTAAGCAGTGCCGACAACTTTTTCTCTAGAAAATAAAAGCACTGGAAAAGACTATGTAACTGAGCCATTGAAACACTTGGGGGAGTGTCAACTTTTATTGCTGCAAAGCTACTCCTAACTTTCAATGATATGTACAGTGTTTTGGATTCAGAAAAGGTGTGTGTTTTGGTTAAAAAATAATAATCACCAAGGGATATGGTAATTTATGTTGACAGAGTAAGAGCAGTCTCAGTTCTACAGTACCAGTTAAGACTTTACATGGCCACAGGCCAAATATTTTGGAAAGTGTCTCTTGTTGAGCCCATGCTTTTCAGACAGAGTTAAGATGATTTCAGGAAAGTCAGCTGAAACAAAATTTCCCTTATTGGTTAGCAAGGACATAAATTGCATGAAAAGCCTTACTTTTTTAAAAATAAAACAAAACTTTATTATGAGCACCAGCTTTTGCTTATCTGCTGGAGCTGTGTAGGATTCAAGTTTTCTTGAAGATGAAAATTGAGATTTCCACATCCCCAAACATGAATCTAGAAATAAGACGAAGAAGGCCTGTTTAGGTTATGTGCAGCCATTCTCATGTCTCATTGTGTGCATTGAGTGCTGCATACTGATCTCAGGGGTCTCTCACAGGCGTAAAATGCTAATAGTAGAGTTTTCTGCTGTGAAGCACTCAGGAGCCCAGGGTAAGAGGGAACTCCAAAACCTCATTCTGCAATGCTGCTTGGAAAACAGCCAAAGAAAGAGTGTGCACCCATCAAATGTGAACGCAGAACGAAGTGAACAAATGTGGGGTTTTTTTCTGAGCACCAGAAGACTACACCCTTGAAAACAAGGCTGTGAACTTGAGGGTTGCTTTGTAGCACTGCGAGTGCCTTGGGAGTGAGTGTCTTTAGATGCAGCCATGGAGACACTGGGATGCAGCCAAGGCTGTCATCCGAGGCGAATTGCTGGCAACTGCTGCCAGCAAGGGATAATTAACAATCAAAAGATCTTAAACTGTAACTTGAAAGAGCCTGTCAGGTGGTTGTAATGACTTGTTAAGTTAATCCAGCTACTCAAGGGACCGGCTGGACACCCAGTCCCCAAGAGTTCGAAAGACACCTGTGCCTCTTCAGAACAATGCTTTGCAGAGGATTATTCTGCAGAGGCACAGCCAGGCCTTTCAAGAGAGCCACTGACTTGGAGCGGGCGGCAGATTGGGTATCTGCAAATAATCATACTGCAGTTCATGAGAATGAGATCATGTGTGAGTGTAGCTGTAAAACAATTAACTCGGGGTTGTTTTTTTAAGCTGCATTGGGTTGAGGGAAGCTGGAAAGGAAGCAAGTGATATTGTCTGGTGCAGTGATCATGAATGATCCTTTCCCAGTGATTTTTGACATGTTGGGTTGAACTTGTGAGCATTTCGATAGTGTCTCAGTTGTGACACTGCACCCTGATTTTATTTTATTTTTCAAAACAGAGGTTGAATCTAAGACATGGTGGGGATCAACTCTCAAGGCAAATTGTTTTGCTTTCGGCTCTGCCTATGATGGCTTACTCCTGAATGCATAGCATTCACACAGAGGATCCTGGAATGCCTGTGGCTCATGAAAGTGCAAACAGTGCTGCCTTTGAGTTGGGTCCAATGGACACGTTTCAGGTGCTAGCCCCTCCCCGTGAAATTTCCTATGCCGTTGCACATTAACTGGGATTTCCCCTCTGTAAACATGCTGCTTGGCTGAAAGGGAAAGATGCTTCTGGAGATGTGCAGAATTGCCCTTCCTTGGCTATGAAGCAACTCCACAGCAAGGGCCATGTAGAGAGGCTTTGGGGACAGCATATCTAGGGAAAGGAATAGTAGGAGAGGCATTCTGTTTCATTTCAGACTGAGGACGTGAGCAGGTATGCAAATAAACACAGCAAGCGCCAGCCATAGAAACACCATGGGTTAAAAATTTAAAAGAGGCGGAAAGAAGAGAACGAAAAAGTAGGAAGGAACCAGTAACATAACCGGCTTCCCTCCCTGCTCCAAATGATCCTCTGCGGCAATCCTTTTCTCTTACAGAAAAACGCATTTAGGTGTATCATTTGCTTTCTGTTTATAGCCACGTGACCGGAAAAAGAAAAACGAATCCCACCTTAGCAGTAATGAGATAGAAGTTTATTTTATCAGCTACAGCAAAGCCTTCCCTGGCCTTTAAAGAGGGATATTTTTGTGGCCTCTCTAGTCTGGGTGCTGTTTCAAAGTAATAGAGGCCCCGCTGCTTACCATAGCAGCCGGGTAAAGAGGTTCGGTGAATATGGTGAGGAAACGGTAGATGAGGTTCATGGTGTTGGTGATGCCATAGAAAGTCAGGGAGCCAGCAGCATAGTTTAGTAAGACTCCAATTGTCTTATAGTAGCTGCCATGCACCACAGTCTGAATATTGTTGTGCCAGACAGAGTACTTCAGTGAGTCCCACTCCAAGCACCATGAATTGCTATTCCTGCCAAGCAGGTACAACATGCAAGCTTTCTCAGTTCTATGCTTGTAACTGTAGGTGACTCCCAAACACAGCCATGCGTTTGAAATCTCAGCCTCCCAGTAATGGCAGCCCTCGCATAGGCTGCGGGTGCACAAGAGCTGTGGCCAGTGGTTGAATCCTTGGCTGGGTTTTGAGTAGTTCTCCAACAAGATTCCCATGTTCAGCACCGAGTGGGTCTCCTTAAACAGGAAGAGTTCTTCGTTGGCAGTGCTAGCATCAAAATTCAGCAGGCAGTAATCTGTTTCGTGGGAGGCAAAACAAGGGGTGAAATGTCAAAAGAAGCCACTCCAGGAAGGTGGGCAAGGGTGGGCAGACCAAGACTGGACATCTTCCAAAATCATAGAGTCACTGATGCTAGAGGTGATCAGAATATAAAATTACTCCAGCCTCTTGCCCAAGGCAAGGACCTCCATGAATTCTCCCACATGTAGTCCCATCCATTAACCACCCTACGAAACAATCTGGAAATTTTTGTTTAACACATATGTTATGAGTCTTTCCCCAAGGAGCTCAGCGTAGTAGCAGTAGAGCTTTGCTCCAAATGGTAATAAACTCATTGAGAAACTTCCATGACAGTGAGGGAATTTGAAACCAGGTTTTCCCCTAGTTCATGTCTAATGCTCTGTTCACTACACCCCACCAGCTCTTTACAGTATTTATATGCACGACAAACAAAAAACAGCAGCAAGCAAAGTGATCCATGTGACAGGTACCTGTATCTGACTACTGATGGAAGATGTTAGTAAAGCTACCCAGGTGGAAATAAGAAAACAAGCCAGTCCACTAAAGTATGGAAAAGTGAAGCCTCACAGTTTCTGAATGGAAATTCCCTCCCGTCCCCAAATTTCAGTATTAATTAAATCCTGAGGATGAAGCAGCCTTGGCTTCAGGACATACTTGTCTTGCCAACATCCCATGTCCAGCCACAACAATTTTTGAAGAAAGGAGAAAGGAAACAATATGGTAGGAAGAAATTGTTTGACCCTGATGGACCACATTAATGTCCAATTTATTCTGCAGCTGTACACACACACACACACACACACACACACACACACACACACAGACGCGGGTGGCGCTGTGGGTAAAAGCCTCAGCGCCTAGGGCTTGCCGATCGAAAGGTCGGCGGTTCGAATCCCCGCGGCGGGGTGCGCTCCCGCTGCTCAGTCCCAGTGCCTGCCAACCTAGCAGTTTGAAAGCACCCCCGGGTGCAAGTAGATAAATAGGGACCGCTTACTAGCGGGAAGGTAAACAGCGTTTCCGTGTGCGGCTCTGGCTTGCCAGAGCAGCAATGTCACGCTGGCCACGTGACCCGGAAGTGTCTCCAGACAGCGCTGGCCCCCGGCCTCTAGAGTGAGATGGGCGCACAACCCTAGAGTCTGTCAAGACTGGCCCGTACGGGCAGGGGTACCTTTACCTTACACACACACACACACACACACACACACACACACACACACACACACACATTAAAGCATTTCTGAACCACTTAATATTTTGAAACTCTTAAGCCATTTAAAAAAATACATAATAAAAACAATAAAACAGTACTGTATCATAAAAACAGAGATAAAACATAAAAATCAGTAAAACGGTATTTAAAAAAAGACGCAATAACAGGGTCCCATCTAATAGGTCAGGAATAGCCTGGGCAAAAAGATAATGCCCCTAAATGACACCTGACACAACCAATGGATGGTCCTTCACATTTGGCAGAGAGGAGGACATTCCTTAGCATGTAGGGACAATGGTGGAAAATACCTGTTTCCAGGTAACCGTTCTGTGGTATTCTATAAGGTGTGGTTTTGAGAGTAAAATTCCCTCAGATTATCTAACTGTTCTTATAGGTCTTTCAGATAACCTGATCCCAAGTTGTTCAGGGCTTTATATGTTAGTAACAAGACCTTGAACATGGTCTGAGAACTGCTTGGCAGCCAGCCCTTCCACAGCTATTTTGTGTGGAAGAACAAACAGTGTTTGCTGGCAGCCTTCAGGAATTCTTTCGTTTGAAATTTGCTTGGGGGGCAGTTTAAAGTTGCTGCTTCTTGCATCCCTAGCCTTTTCAAAAAGATGAAATCATTCTTACGGGGTTGGCAGAACTGTCAGATTTCACCTGGGATAGTGCTCCTCTTTACCAGAGGGAGAAATTTGGCTGTGCAGCTTCTCCCCTCATAGTACTGCTATGCTGGAATCAGGATAGTGTGCTTGGATCCCCCCTGGCAAAGCACAAGCCGCTAGAGCTTCACCTTCAGTCAGAGCAGGCCTTAGCATTAGCCAGAGCGGGACATCCCCTTCAGGCAGTGAGGGCTTGGATGGGTGTGGGAGCAGTGGCAGGAACACCCCGGCTGATTCTCCTGAACCCATGTCATGTTGCTCTGCTTTGCTCAGGTGGAGTGAAGGGTGCTGTAAGATTAACTTGCCCATCTGGTCAGCTTATGTGTGTGGAATGCGGGGAGGAGAAACATCTTGTCCTTTACCTCAGTTAAGAAAATGTCCTGGGCCTTGGAAGCTGTTGGGTTGGGTGGGTCCAGCACCAGTGGCCGGCCAAGCTGAGCCCTGGCTGAGGGTCCCAGGAGCTTGGAAGGGCCCACACTGGCTCAACCCAGGCACATTGCCATTTGCACCACTATATACAGCGGTACCTCAGGTTAAGTACTTAATTCGTTCCGGACGTCCGGACTTAACCTGAAACTGCTCTTAACCTGAAGCACCACTTTCGCTAATGGGGCCTCCTGCTGCCGCTGCGCTGCTGGAGCACCATTTCTGTTCTCATCCTGAAGCAAAGTTCTTAACCTGAAGCACTATTTCTGGGTTAACGGAGTCTGTAACCTGAAGCGTATGTAACCTGAAGTGTATGTAACCTGAGGTACCACTGTATTACTGTTTTAAGTTACCCAAACTGTAATATTCTGCCCATAGATATATGAAATGTATTTATTTTATAGATCTGTAGTCTGGATATGTCTAGGGGTAGGAACTTTCAGCTGGGACATTGCAGTTTGGGTAGCTTAAGATGGCGGTGACCGTCATGGATGGGAGACAAGCTCAGTTCCTGTTAAAAAGTGCCACCACTCATCCACCACTAAAACATGTCTTGAGCCCCCCCCCCCGGCAGAGGGTGACAAGTGGTGCCGTCACCAATGTGGCGGCAGCAGCAGAGAAAGCATACGGCAGGCACCGTTGCCACAACCAGATCTGGGTCCTGCCCTGATTGTGGTAGGTGTTGGGTGGGCGGGCACATTGTCAAGGCTGAATCAAGGCCCTGGGCACAAAGTTTGGCACCAAGCATGGGTGCACTGTTAGCATACCAACAGGAAGACGCTATGGCTAGACTCCCATATACTGCCTGCAACATTACTAGGGTTCAGTGAAGAAGAAGAAGAAGAGGAGTTTGGATTTGATATCCCGCCTTTCACTCCCCTTCAGGAGTCTCAAAGCGGCTAACATTCTCCTTTCCCTTCCTCCCCCACAACAAACACTCTGTGAGGTGAGTGGGGCTGAGAGACTTCCGAGAAGTGTGACTGGCCCAAGGTCACCCAACAGCTGCATGTGGAGGAGCGGGGAAGCGAACCTGGTTCCCCAGATTATGAGACTACCGCTCTTAACCACTACACCACACTGGCTCTCAGTGAAGATTACAAAAGGCTGAGGTTTGCTATTCATACTCAGTGGCCGGAAGCCACAAGCACCTCCAGCCTCAGCAAAGGACATTGTGCCTTTCACCTGCTTGCGGCAGTCACCTGATGCTGTCGCTTTCTTGCTAGCTCTCAGTTAAAGGATGATAACTGCGGTTCTGCTCCCCTTGCTAACTAGGGCAACCAAAACACACAAAACTTTATGACGGGTGATTATTTTTACTGGCCAGCGTCCAGCTAGCAAGCACAGACTGGTATTTGGTTTAATGCAAGTCTTAACAGATTGGTGCTGACATTGACCTTTCCTATTCAGCTAGGACTGGACTTTTTCAGAGACGGTGCCGGGAGATTCTGGGTCCAGCACTTTCTGCATGGCTCCTCAAAGCAGTGTTCTAATATTTTATGTAAGAAGTGGGAATTTGTATGGAGGATTTCTGCCTCCCATCTACCATATGGGAATAATAATAATAATAATAATAATAATAATAATAATAATAATAATGGCCTAACTGAGATAAAAAGCAGAGACATCACCTTATCAACAAAGGTCCGTATAGTTAAAGCCATGGTTTTCCCAGTAGTGATGTATGGAAGCGAGAGCTGGACCATAAAGAAGGCTGATCGCCAAAGAATTGATGCTTTTGAATTATGGTGCTGGAGGAGACTCTTGAGAGTCCCATGGACTGCAAGAAGATCAAACGTATCCATTCTTAAGGAAATCAGCCCTGAGTGCTCACTGGAAAGACAGATCATGAAGCTGAGGCTCCAATACTTTGGCCACCTCATGAGAAGAGAAGACTCCCTGGAAAAGACCCTGATGTTGGGAAAGATTGAGGGCACAAGGAGAAGGAGACGACAGAGGACGAGATGGTTGGACAGCATTCTCGAAGCTACAAACATGAGTCTGACCAAACTGCGGGAGGCAGTGGAAGACAGGAGTGCGTGGCGTGCTCTGGTCCATGGGGTCATGAAGAGTCAGTCACGACTAAACAACTAATCGACAACAACAACTGAGATAATCTATTATATGAAATCTTAGAGAACGTAGCATCACTTGGGGGTTGGACTACTGTGGTACCTCGGGTTAAGAACTAAATTCATTCCGGAGGTCCGTTCTTAACCTGAAACTGTTCTTAACCTGAAGCACCACTTTAGCTAATGGGGCCTCCCGCTGCTGCCACACCACTGGAGCACGATTTCTGTTCTCATCCTGAAGCAAAGTTCTTAACCCGAGGTACTATTTCTGGGTTAGCGGAGTCTGTAACCTGAAGCGTATGTAACCTGAAGTGTATGTAACCCAAGGTACCACTGTACTAGATGACCCTCAGGGTTCCTTGCAACTCTACAATTCTATGATTTTAGGAAAAGTGCTGAATTCTAAGGATCTCTCATCTTGTTTCCAGATTTGGTCAGTCCTAGTGCAGATGACCAGAGACAGAAACAGGATGGGAGGTCAGTTAGGGCAGGTAGGGGTCTCCTCTGAGACTTTCTAACCTTGCAGAAAACACACTGGGAACCAAACTAACTCCTCAAACTCTCCTCCAGACTTTTCCTGGAATCCAAGTGACCACAGCATACAACACACGGTCAGTATTTTGTAAAAGATGCCTAGGCAATGATACCTGTGTCTCTCTGTGTGTGAGTGAAGGTGGAGGGCAAAAAAGGAAGAGTTCTCTCCATGCATCCATTCCTCTCTCTCTCCGCCCCCCCCCCCAATTCTGTGTTTGTGCCTGTATATGGGAGGCAGGCATGAGACAAGCGGATGAGTCCTGACATTAATGGGCTTTTGCTACAGGTCTGCTGTAAGTATGGCTAGCATGGACTATTACCCAATGGGAGAGTGTTTGAGGGAGAGTTTGTGTTGTGTTAGTTGAGTTGAGGAAATGCAGCCCTAGCATTAAGTAGCAAGAAAGAAGGGGTTAATGGAGAAAGCTGGTCACTTCAGGAATTGGTATTTAACCGTGCCGTATTCTGCTAAATTATTCCTTCTAGAATGCTGAACATCAATAAATGTCAGGGTTATAAATCGGTATTCAATAGACTGGGGCGTCAGATAAGATGTGGATTAACTCCTTAGACAAAATAGGAAGATTATGATAAAGCAAACAGTGAGTAAGCATCTGGGCACACCCGTAAGCAACCACTTACTCCAAGTTTTCTTCCTCTGGAAGGACAAGAAATCCAAGATTTCTGCAACTTCCCAGAATAGAGATGAAGTGATAGGAAAAGTCAAACCTGTTATGCTTTGGCTGTTAAAGACATGAAACAGAAAATCTTGCAGCAGCCCTGTGAAATAGTATTCTTTGGATATCTTCTACAATTGCTTTGAAAAAATTTCAGTTCTTGAAGTGAAATGGCTGAATTTTTTTTTTAAGTTCCCCAACTTGAAGTGTTTTGCAAATCCAAAAGCCAGGATTATGCCAGTGACGAATCTCCACAAAGGAGGTCCTTCTGTTCAGATGCGTGACTCCAGCCACGATGTGGTGTTTTATTTGTTCACCGACTTTCACCTCTGTATTGTTGTATGGTATGGTTTTGAGCTTGCATACCGCTTTGCGAAATAATATGTGGTTTATAAATAAATGAACTGAATAAATAAGAAGACTTTGGCCTCTATCTTATATTGCTAATGTGGCTATTATATTTACCTTACAAATATGCAAAATCCAATTTAAGCTACTGCTGCTAGTACCAGGTCAGTCACAATGAACAAGTTAGGCCAATTGACTGAACTCATGATGAACACCTCCATCGTTCTCTTAAAATGGCAATGGTGCCCACCTGAGAGGTGCTGGAACTGAGTTCTGGCAAGTTTTGACTGATAAAAAAAAGCCCTGGCAGTGGCTGTCCCAGATGTATACACCCCTGGGCTTAATCACGGCTTGTTTTCTCAAATGTGATGGAAGCTGGCTTGAGGGAAAACAACTCAAGTAACAGTATTTCTCAAGAAACCTCAGGATACAGATGGTTTGTGGCAAACGTCACAAGGACTCTGCTTCACATACCAGTGATAGGAGTACATTGGCACCAGATAAAATGGTACTGTGTGCACAGGCTAAATTTTAAAGCACTCCAAAGGAAAGCAATGAGAAGTCAAATGGAATTGCAACACCTACACTTTCTGAGACTTTTCCGATCCGTTGGAGCTGGTATCACTTCATAAGGCACCATTGTGATCCCTGAAAGACAAAAGGTCCTGGAGTTATTTGTGTGTGTGTGTGTGTGTGTGTGTGTGTGTGTGTGTGCATAGCCTGTGCAGGGTGCCATGTAAACAGAAATTTGAGATCTTGCCCTCAGGGCTGTGGACTACACAGATTTTTGAGCTTATTTTTAACCCTCATGTAAGAGACTTATTTGATCTGCATTATCTTGCAAAATTCCCTGTTTTCGTCCTTCCAGAAACACAACCTTTTTAATCTACTTTAGCAAAGCAACAACAGTTCTTTGGCACACCAGACACTAACAAAAATATTGTTCCAACAAGCGGTTGCTGATCCTTATTAATCCAGCAGCATTTACGGGAATCATCCTGGACACAAGTATAATTGGCTGGGAAATTAAAGACCTGAATAACTTGATCCATACCAAAGGGATAGAGTCTTATAGGAGCTTCCTACATTCGAAGTTAGTGTGTTGTTTTGTTGCAAAACTCGCAGGGCATCAAGGAGAAGCGGCTTGCTGGGTGGGGCAGAGCCTCTGTGCTAACTTCCCGGCAGGCGGATCATTGTTAGCACTATGCTAGCCCCACTCCCAGCCACCTTCTATGTTGGCAGCAGTGACCCACCTGCTGTGAAGCTAGCTGAATGGCTGCGCCTCACCCAATGAGCTGCTTCTGGCCGCAAACTATACCCCCAAAAGGCAGAACTAATAATTCCCCCACGTCTGCCATGTGGAAGACCAGGAGATCACCATGGGCTTGTGAGAACTGGGGGTGCTGCACCACAGCAAAATAAAATGAGTCCTCTTTGGGGTCTCTCTCCTCATTCTTCTACAGTCACCACATCTTGTCCATTAAAAGGTAACCAGAACACTGGGTTCTGCTCACCCAGTGTACAACTTCGACACTCTCAAATAGCCCAAAGCCTGGTCGGTCCCCTCCCCCCCAAATACCCCATGATGTGACAGAAGAAGAGCCTTGCTAAGCTATCTATTCTAGCATTCTGTTTCTACAGTGACTAACCAGATGCTAATGGAAAGCCCACAAGCATGACATGAGTGAAGCAACTCTCTCTTGCTGCTGGTAACTTGCCCTCAGTGACTAACAGCCACTCAAAGCCTTATCTTCCATGAATTTGTCTAATCCTAATTTTTGCCACAGCACATGCAGAAGACACTGTTTAATTTGTGTTTGGTTCTATCCAGGTAAATATGCTTCTTAGTTTTGTTAGATTTAACAGAAAAATGCAATTTGTTTATTTTTAAAGGTCTATAAATAGGGACCGCTTACCAGCGGGAAGGTAAACGGCGTTTCTGTGTGCGGCTCTGGCTCGCCAGATGCAGCTTTGTCACGCTGGCCACGTGACCCGGAAGTGTCTCCGGACAGTGCTGGCCCCCGGCCTCTTGAGTGAGATGGGCGCACAACCCTAGAGTCTGTCAAGACTGGCCCGTACGGGCAGGGGTACCTTTACCTTATAATAATCTATTTTTAAGGGCTCTTTAAGCTATATAGTTTATTTTACAACTATATGCATCTGGATCTACACGGAGAGGAAGAGATTTCAGTCCATTTCATTGCAATCCCTAGTTTAGAATTTGCTTTTTGCATAACTTCAGCACATTGGATCAACATTTTCAGAAAGCTATCCATCGTGACCCTAAGCCCTCTCCTGGTCACACCACAACGCAAACTCATTTTATTTGTAGGTATGTTAAAGGAGCAATGCATTTGATTTCAAGTGTTTTATATGTGGCTGCATCATTCTGAAGGGTTTCTGAGTCTTAATGTGAAACAAAGGGACTGAGAGGCTATGCATACATCAGATTGTTAATGTGCACGTTAATGTGTACATAGATCCAGCTTTTTCCAAGGATTGTGAGTGAAAAGACCCAAATTTGTATTTTTTGTGTGAGCATATGATTAATTTTAATTTTCATTCAGTTGTATTGTCTTTCTATATTACTGCATGCCATTGAAGCATATGTTCTTTCTTAAATGAAACAAAAATATTGTAAAATTAAAAAAATCTACAGCACCATGTGTTGAAGAGTTATTTGAGCCCATGAATGCATCTTTCTAGCTGTAGCATCTATGTGGAGCCAACTCACCTTTTTGAAGGGCTTTGTTGATGAAACAGAGTCCGAACATGGACACTTGGGATTTCAAGTCACTCAAGGTCTGTTTAAGTGCTACGAAACTGGTGGGCTCCTCACACTTCAGTCCAATCAAAGCTTCTGTGCAACCCGACATTACTCTTATTTTTGGGAAGTCCTGTGGGAACAAATAGATTTTAACAAAAGATTGAAACTCACTGAAACATTTTTGGGAGAATTTTGATGTCCTCATCACAGAAATGGAACCATCTTGGTTTGCCTGCAGGCTTTCTGACTACGTGTATAGAATCCAGGGCCGGCCCACCCATGAGGCAAGATGAAGAGACTGCCTCAGGCGGCAGGATCCACAGGGGTAGCAGATCCCAGTGTAGATCTTCATTCACCCCTCTTGTTCCTGGTGTAGATCTTCACTCACCCTTTCTTCCCTGGCAGGGTGTTTGTGCCATTTTATGGTTTACCTCAGGCGCCAATATTTTTCAGGCTGGCCATGCAATCTATTCTAGCATTCTGCTTCTACAGTTCTACTGCTTCTATAGTTGGAAGGGACCTCAGAATTCATCCTTTGCTCAAGGCTGGATATGTACAGTGCAAAACACAAATCTGTTTAAGTGCCTCCAGTGAAGAAGAATCTACAACTTTCCCCCTCTGCCCAGAAGGGGCACCATCACAGCAAGCCATGGCAGGAGACTATTTAATGCTTTGAATTATCAGGTTTTTGAATTTCGTGGTGAAAATACCAGAGATATTTGAGGAAATGTTCTTTAAAAAACAACAACCCGTTAACAACCTTTCCCCTTTTTAATTATCCAAGGGAACATGGATAATTGGTTATAACTATCAGGGCATGATGGCCTGAAGGCACATGGTACTGTAACTATCTTCAAACGAAGCACCTGCAAGTCTGAGCAGTGCATGCCTGGGAGACCAAACTGATTCTGCCTTCACAACAGAAGAAAGGAAAGTTAGAAATGTTATAAGAGCTAGTGTGGCTTCATGTTTAGAGTGTTGGACGAAGACCTAAGAGACTCGGTCTCAAAGCCCCACTCAGTCATGAAGCTCCCTGAGTGACTTTGGGCCAAGTTACTGTCCCTCAAGACCTAACCTACCTCATAAGGTTGTTGAGAGGATAAAATGGGAAGGGAGGGTAGTGCCAAGATCTTTACCTTCAGTTCAAAGGATCGCACAAACATTCACACATGATGAGGATATAATAATGCTACTGGAATATCACTGAACGCTTTATTGCTCTTTTGCTATGGGCCAAATACGGCCTTATAGGCTAAATGCCACCTCTATGCAAACAGGCCCATTCCTCCCGCTACATTCCATTTGTGTGGCTTAAATGGTACAGAGGTCATTTGCTCACATAACATGGTGTTCAGTTTAAGACTCTGTTTTATTATTTGCATTTCTCTAGCGGCTTAGAGAAACACTTGATCAAACGAAAAATAAAGCGCACTCTTTGGCCATGTTTTTAGCAAAAAGAGGAGTTTTTGTTGCTGTTCCGCACTGGAGATTTTAGAATCCAGGCAGGTGATCCTGTGAAAACGTTTATGAGCGGCAGTGTATAAGAAGTTGGGAGTCTCTTGCCTCAGATGGGCAGCTGCTGCCCAATCCACTGGGGCTACATGACCTGCTGCTGGCATCAGGGGAGAATTTTGTAAACACATAACAAGTACAATCTAATAATAAGCAGGTGATGGAAGCTGGCACCAGGTCTAGCCTTGTGAAAATAAATGTCCTTTGCTTACTCTCTTGCGCTTGGTACTGGCACACTTCCCAGCGGAGTAAAGAGGAATATGTGGTAGAGGAATTTCACCCAGCACAGTACAATCCCTAACCGAGTCACCCTCTTTCTTTCATGCTAATAATGGGTGGGGCAGTAGCAACAACGGTAGGAAGCACCGACCATTCAAAGGACAAAAGAGGTCAGAAAGGGTTAAGAGATGCCTGAGAAGAATCAGGTTGCTCAGCATGTTGTCTGGGGCTGATGGGAGTTGTAGTCTAAAATATCTGGTGGACACATGGCTGGGGAAGATTGCCTACTCTATTCTGCCTTGGTCAGACCACACCTGGGATACTGTGTCAAATTCTGGGCACCACAATTTAAAAAGGATATTGACAAAGCTAGAATAAAAGCAGAGGAGAGTGACCAAGATGATCAAGGGTCTGGAAACCAAACCTTATGAGGAACAGTTGAGGGAGCTGGGTATGTTTAGCCTGGAAATGAGAAGACGGAGAGGAGATATGAAAGCTATCCTCAAATATCTAAAGGGCTGTCACATGGAAGACAGAGCAAGCTTTTTTATCCTGCTCCAGAAGGTAGAAGAAGAAGAGGAGTTTGGATTTGATATCCCGCCTTTCACTCCCTTTAAGGAGTCTAAAAGCGGCTAACAATCTCCTTTCCCTTCCTCCCCCACAACACACACTCTGTGAGGTGAGTGGGGCTGAGAGACTTCAAAGAAGTGTGACTAGCCCAAGGTCACCCAGCAGCTGCATGTGGAGGAGCGGAGACACGAACCCGGTTCCCCAGATTACGAGACTACCACTCTTAACCACTACACCACACTGGCTGTGGACTCAAACCAATGGATTCAAGTCCACTAAACATCAGGAAGAACTTTCTGACAGTAAGAGCTGTTAAACTCCTTTGGGAGGTGGTAGACACTCCTTCACTGAAGGTTGAATGGCCATCTGTCATTGATGCTTTAGATGAGATTCCTGCATTACAGGAGGTTGGACTAGACGGCCCTCGGGGTCCCAACTCTACAGTTCTATGATTCCCTGGTCTTGACTCTGCTCCAATTACAGTGTGGACTCTACCTGCAGAAACTGATGGTCACTTGGGTCTTCCATGAGACCTCTCAGCCAGTAATTCTGCTTTTGGAGATCAATCAGCTGCTCTTGACTGTGCTGAATGGAATTCCCCATTCCAACTAAGGCCGATCTTTCTTCTTCATCTATAAAGTCCATCACCTTGTTCTGCAGTCGCTTGAGCTCTTTCATCGCCTCGGCAAAGGCCCTATTCACTTCGTCTCGGGCCGTCTTCACTACTTTCTGAAAGGGAAAGACAATGCCAAGCACATCACAATTTTCACCTACCATTGTTTAAAGTATGGAAGTTGCTACCACACGACGTAGCGTTGACTTGGGCAGCTTTAAAAGTGGATTAGAGAAATCCATGGAAGATAAGGCTACTGATGGCTGCTAGTCATGATGGCTATGTATTGCCGTGATGCCTGTGAATCCTAGTGTTATGTACTGAGTTGAATAGGATCCAAAAGGCAGCAGTCTGATTGGTCCTAAAGCAATAGGATTCAGAATGCAGCAGTCTGATTGATCCACAGGAGCCACCCAATCCAGCTCCAGGTGAAAGTGAATCCGCAACCTGATTGGCTTACAGGTGAATCCTGGAATTAGCCAATCACGTGGGGCCCATTGTGTAAATAATGTATATGAAGCAGACATTCTGGGGGAACTTCCATTCCTCCTCACCACTATGAGCTGAATAAAGAGCATGAAATGCACTCTCGACTCAGAGGATATTTCACCTAGTGACTGGGGATTGCATGCGGGAGAGTCCTATTGCGCTCATGTCCTGCTTGTGGATTCCCCTTAGCGTCTGTTTGGCCACTGTTGAATGTTGGATTAGGTGGACCTTGGACCTGATTCACTAGGGCTCTCCTTATCTTCTTATGTGTTCATTTAATACTCCTTTGTGAAATTCTCTGGGTAGGTGCAGACACGCATTTTTAAAGTGGCAAAGCTGCTATGGAACCATACATAAACAAGGAGCAATTGGTTCTGCTGGTTTCTAGCAAAAGTACTGCGCGCACACTGCTAATTGGCTTCATGCTCCCAGCTTTGTCTTCCTCCTCAGAGCACCCTTTCAAGAGAGTCCTGCTTTCGATAAAAGAAAATAAGGCACCAAAGAAGCAGACTAACTTGCTTGTTGTGCTTTCTTTTCTTTTCATTTCATTTTCTCCTTTGAAAGAGGATTGTCCACCTGAAATGTGGTGGTGAAGAGGGAGAGGAAACAAAGGGAATCAGCTTTCAGTCTGGAGGGCCTACATGTGTAATTTGAGGAGAGGTAGTGAGAAGAAAGCAGAGCTCACCAACCACAGGAAACCCTATTCCTGTTTGCGCTGGGATGTCTGTATGTATTGCATTGTGGTCCCTTTCAGCGCTGTTTAGCTGCTTTATTTATCAAATAGTCCTTCACAATAAAAGCTGGACATATTTTCTAAAAAAGAAAAGAAACAGCAACATGTCGCTTGTGGGACCATCAGCCTCAACTGCACAGCAGTTCCTTGAAGCAACAATGTTGTTAGGTCTTCAAACCGTGCAGTTTGTGATCTAAAGCAGGTGTCCCCCAAAACACATTGTTTTGTACATCTGCAAGCCCTGAGCCTGCTGATAGCTCATTCCTATGCATGAATGTTACCACTTTGGCTACATAAGAGTTCATACTCAGATGATGAGTTTGCTATTAGTATACAGTGGTACCTCGGGTTAAGTACTTAATTCTTTCCGGAGGTCTGTTCTTAACCTGAAACTGTTCTTAACCTGAAACACCACTTTAGCTAATCGGGCCTCCTGCTGCTGCTGTGTTGCCGGAGCACAATTTCTGTTCTCATCCTGAAGCAAAGTTCTTAACCCGAGGTAATATTTCTGGGTTAGCGGAGTCTGTAACCTGAAGCGTATGTAACCCGAGGTACCACTGTATAGTGTATATGACTCTCAGTCAGCCAGAAGAACAGAATGGGAGCCAAACATGACCTGGGATGTTCCATGGAATAGCAGAGAAAGCTGGCATTTGCAAGGGGTCTTTCAGGGTGGCTAGGCAAAACCTTGACCTCCAGATCTAAAGAAGTGTCAACCACTTGACTTCAGTACAGTGGTACCTCGGGTTAAGAACTTAATTCATTCTGGAGGTCTGTTGTTAAGCTGAAACTGTTCTTAACCTGAGGTACCACTTTAGCTAATGGGGCTTCCCGCTGCCGCCGCACGATTTCTGTTCTCATCCTGAAGCAAAGTTCTTAACCTGAGGTACTATTTCTGGGTTAGCAGAGTCTGTAACCTGAAGCGTCCGTAACCTGAAGCGTCTGTAACCCGAGGTACCACTGTACATGCAAATACATGCCCAGGTGAAGAATGGTACAATACTGAGTGGCAGTAGGTGCCCCTGGATCTGTGTGATGTGCCATGGATTTGGTCCCTTCCCTCAGAAGCTTTTCTCACCGCAAGGTAGTTAACTCTGCCCCTGTGTTGCTGACTGTCCACTGCCACCATCAAGACTTGGTTTTCCACGTTGGCCTGTACTCTCCTGACTTCGACCTGGGAAAGAAAGAATTAGAACATGGAAGCAGCAGTCTGGGGATGACGACTTCACATACACCTCTTTTAAAAGTGGAGCATAAATAATCAGTGCTCATTTTTTAAAAAATAAATAAATGAGATATGTGGGATGTGTATTCCAGTTTTATAGAAGAGAGCCTGTTTGGACTCACATTACAAAGGACTGGACTAGATGAAGAGCCGCTGGAATTAATCAGGAAGCCCATTTTTTATTCACAAACTGCTTTTTGATGCAAAATGTCTTCAATGCAGCTTACAGTTTTTTTAAAAAAAAGAATTTAAAATTATGATATTAATACCTCATACAAAACCTAACAATATTCATTCATAAACTTTACTGCACTAGCCAAAGGCCATGGCATCGTTCACAGGGAGAACAAAAGGAAAAACAGCAATAACCATAAAAACATTTAGCGCTACCGGTGCAATAAACCACGGTCAAGTCTCCTAGAGATTATTTGTTGCATGAGCTGGAATAGCAGGGAAATCTCCGGTAAAATATGCCAGCTTAAATGTCTGAATCCCCTTTGCAGTTGACACCTAACAATATGGAACAGCAGAACAATACACCATTATGCAGTGCCAAGAAGCCTTGACAATTCCATGCTAGTTGTCTGGTAAAATAAAAAAAAGCAACCATCGAACAAAACACCTGAAGTATGGGAAATAATGAAGCCTCCAAGGTGAGGGAGTTTCCATTGCAAACTACCTCCAATGATTTTGGGACAACAGGGCTGGTTTGAGACTTAGGACTACCTGAGGCAAAGGATAAGATGATGTTCTCCTTCTCCAGACAAGCTGACTGGAGGGCAGTCAAATTTTACTTCAATAGTACGGATGGGATAGCATGATCCCCCACACCTGAGGGCAGCAGGGGTCCGGGACAAACTACATGGCACACAGAACTGTGCCCTCCGACAGAAGGGAATGGTTAGGAGACTCAGGTGAAGGATCCACAGCCTCTAGTATCTGCTTGTCACCTCACTCTGCCCAAGAATGGGGGTTAATCATGTGGGGCATAGTAGAAAAGCCTCACCTGATTATCTTAATAGGCAGGGAGGTTCTTATCTCAGTTTTCTTTCTTTATTTTTATGAAACTGGGTGTAACCGGATAGGGTGCTGTCCTCAGCTGAACCCTTTTGTTCAGCTTCTAACCAACTTTGTCCAAATTGCACAATCTCAAGGGCAAGCTAACTCAAAATAAAACAAGGCATAACAATCTTGGTGTCAGTATGAACTGGTTCACTGCTTTTGTTGCAATGGCAAGTTGATGGGCTCACTTGTCTTCTGCTAATACTGTAGCTTGCTTGAAAAACATCACTCCTAATGTGACTATTTCTCCTTTTAGAAGAAATAAAGGATGTGAAAAAAAGTACATACTGGTACAAGCCATATATCACAAATACAGACAGCATTTTAACCTCATAGCTAATATGTCTAATGTGTAGTTCACCAGATCTACATAGCTTTGTGTGTGTGTATGTGTGTGTATATATACAGTACACACACACACACACACACACACACACACAAACACACTTGGGCTCATCATTTTATTATTTATTTATATTTAAAAGTTATATCCCACCCTATGTCATAGGGCACATTATAGCAAGCAACACATTAACATGTCAGTAACATTAAAGCACATCATCTCTTTATAGAAAAAAAAGTATGCACTCTGAAAATTATTATATCTCCTCTAGTCCTCAACAGTGTCAAACAGATATACAGTGATACCTCAGGTTAAGAACTTAATTCATTCTGGAGGTCCGTTCTTAACCTGAAACGGTTCTTAACCTGAGGTACCACTTTAGCTAATGGGGCCTTCCGCTGCTGCTGTGCGATTTCTGTTCTCATCCTGAAGCAAAGTTCTGAACCCGAGGTACTATTTCTGGGTTAGCGGAGTCTGTAACCTGAAGCGTCTGTAACCCAAGGTACCACTGTAAATCTCTCATTTTCCAGCCCCCCAAAAACCCCCCACACAAACAAAAAACCCAACAGAGAGAGAAAGAGAGATAGGTGGGAACTAAGACTAAATTGATATTATATACATTTTTATCAGTCTCATTTTTTAGCTAATATTATCAGTTTCTGCTTCTCTATATTTGTCCTATATATCCTGGAGTTCTAAAAACTGAGGATTTACCCCAGTTTAAACAAGCTTCTATACCTTTTCACATGACATATTCCAATTTTTGCTCTTGGGGGGAGGGAAACAAAACAAAAGGCGTTGGGAGGAAAGCAAATTCTCCCTCTGAATTGTTAAGAGGTTTTTCCCCCCTGGGCCGTCCCATCTCTAGCGCCTACCAATGGAAAGAAAAGTGATGAAGAATAGAAATAAGAGAAATAGGGTAAAATGGGAGATGGTCTGCGCTACTGAAATCCCAATCTGACCCAGTGGGAAGTGACGCTGCCTCCCCTCCCCCAGTTGCCAACCAAGAGGGGTGAAGGACGCCACACGCATGATCTCCAAAAGATGTTGATAGGAATCATTTAGGAGAAGGGGCTATAGTACTGACCTAGCACCAGTTGTCCTCTTCTGAAAGTTGCATTCCAGGAAAACTAACTGCTGACTTTAAAGGATGGCATGATACTACTCACTTCTTTCTTGCTCCTGTCGTCCTTCAGAGAGATGGCGTCATGATTCTTGTGCTCTTCCCGAACACAGATGTGGCAGATGAATTTCCCTTCGATTCTGCAGAACAGCTCCAGCAGTCTGTGATGTTTCAAGCACATATTAGCCTTCAGGTCATTGAGAGGTTTTATCAGCTGATGGTTCCTGAAGGCATTGTCTTCATAGTGGGAACGGATGTGGTTTTCGCACAAGGAAGCCATGCATTGCAGGCAGGACTTGACAGCTTTCATCTTCCTGGGGGAGCAGAAGTCACACAAAACCTCCCTCTGACCTGCCAGCTTCCTTGACCCTTGGGCTTCTTCCCGTGCGAACCTCGTGGCGATTTCTCCCAGGGTTGTGTTTTTGCGCAGTTGAGGCCTCGAACTGAAAGGCTCACGACACTGAGGGCAGTAGGGGCAATCCCCGACCAGGGCTTGGTGGTCCCAGTAATCCTGCAAACAGTCCATGCAGAAGTTGTGTCCGCAGGCTGTGGTGACGGGGTCTCTGAACACCTCGAGGCATATCGGACACACAATGTTGTGCTCGAGGAAAAGCAAGCTAGCTTTCTTCATAATAACACTTTCTTTTTTGGCTGAGACTCAGCCAGTGCTTGTAGTTGCACAAAACCCTAGGAAAAGTTGGGCTGCTACCTGTTTTTTTAATATAAAAAAAACCACAGTAGTTGAAACAAATGGTTTTTAATTGACTAGTAAAACATGCACATTTGCATAGAGCTAAGAAAATAACATTTTAGAAGAAAAAAGTGTGTCTTTGAAGATATTGCAGAGTGCACTAAAAGTAAGCAAAATGTTTAAATGTCTTGCCAAATTGACTGTGGGCAAAGTTTTAGTTGCTCAAACTTTTCTTTACTTAGTTACTACAACCAATTACTGGTAATTGGCGGTTGTAATCCCTGTTAAAAGACAATGACTTCCTCATGTTGAGATGCAATAGGTAGTGTTCTTTGCAGATGGTTTAACCTTTTACCACTCTTCAATGGGTGAGACTGCATCATTCAGTCATACTCAGGAGAGAGCTAGTCTAAGGAGGAGGCAAGACTGGCACAGTGAATCCTGCAGGAACAGTAGACACAACTTTTGGATTTTGTGTTGTAGCACACAAAAAACCCCAGAAGTGTTGAATGGTCACTGTAAAATGTGAAGGTTCTTTATTGTTTCACAAGTTGTGTATGTCTTTAAGGGCCAGGGCCAGGGCAAATAACGAGACCAAGTCTTACAGCTGTGAAACATAGTAGGTGCTGCTAGGTTGTGTTAATAAAGCTGTGTCAGCATTTGGGCATAGTATATAAGGAGCAGCACCTAGCTCCCTCATTACCCTGGGGGGATGGGTTGGTGGTTGGGTCATGTTTGTTGTTGTTATCTTTAGTGTAAAAGGAGTTTTTGTTTTGTTATTAAAACCTTGTTAAAGTTATTTTTGAGTTCCTTGTTATGCATGGTCTCCCCAGCAAGCTCTCTGCAGCACTACTAAACTGCAAATCTGGGATAATCTGGGTTAAAACTATGTGGAAAGAGCACACTCCATACAGGAGTCTTGGCTAGATTATTTCTGTTCCTTCCATCCCTACCTTTGTGACCCTATAATTCTACAAACAGATGGATTTTTATCAGTGAAACTCATTTCCCACACTCACCTGTTCAGCTGTGATACAAAGTCAATTGTGGCACTCTGTAACATTAAGTACCATCTGGCAAAAATTAGCAACCCGTAGGTGCTAATAGCAACTGTTCTACCTACTAACAGATCCCTCATCTAGCTCCAGTGGCTAAAGGTTTTACGTTGTTCTTTTCTTGGTCCAAAACAGCAACTCATATTGAGTTCCTGTCAGTTTACAGTCTTTCATGGGGTCTGAATTTGCTATGTGACATCACAGTTCAAACTACAAGGGAGGGGGGAGCTGAGCACTCTGGTTATGATGTCATTGCACAAGCAGGTCCAAGTCAAACATTAAAAAGACCACTCTTGAAAGCTCTTGCAAGGGGTGGTAGGCTATAGGCACCTCAGAGAACTGACATGAAGAGGGAAGACCACATTGAATGGAACCAGGCACTTTGAAGCAATTCTTCCCTCTGTCCTCTAAATTTAGTCTAAATACTGGTCAGATATTTCCCAGAAACAGAAAAATGTATTTTTTTAAAAAAGGAAAGAAAACAGACTCTATTTTTGATGAGATACACTTGGCTCTCTCTCAGGAAGACAGCATAACAATTTCAACATTTTGCATTGCATCACCAGCACAATTTCATTCAGCATCTTGTCCTCAAGTATATTATCTGATTAATTAAAAAAAGGTAAAGGACCCCTGGACGGTTAAGTCCAGTCAAAGGCAACTATGGGATTGTGGTGCTCATCTCACTTTCAGGCCAAGGGGGCCGGCGTTTGTTCACAGACAGCTTTCCAGGTTATGTGACCAGCATGACTAAACCACTTCTGGTGCAATGGAACACTGTGACGGAAACCAGAGCGCACAGAAACACAGTTTAACTTCCTGCCACAGTGGTACCTATTTATCTACTTGCACTGGCGTACTTTCAAACTACTAGGTTGGCAGGAACTGGGACAGAGCAACAGGAGCTCACCCCATCATGGGGGATTTGATTTGGGATGCGGGTGGCGCTGTGGTCTAAACCACTGAGCCTCATAGCCTTGCCGTTTAGATCTGTATAATTATTGTACGGTTGGGAACATTGTCCCCACAGGTGGCCAACTTTCCTGTGAGAACAACCGCTCAGGTGTAAGTACCCCACAGGCCTACATTCTTGCCATCATGTGTTTGTTATACTAGTAAAAAAGTAAAATATGATCTCTATGAAAATACAGAAGCTTGTCCCAGGGAACCATGGAGCCATGTAGCAGGCACATATATCTGCATCCCATAGAGCACAGACATGCTACTTTTAAGGCTTCAGAAAACTACAAATTACACAGAAACATATAACTTCTGAGACTACACGGTATAGGTTAATATTAACTGCATGGCTTTATCCTCCAAATGTACAGAAAAAGGCAACCAGTGTTATCAAGGGAATGGATAAATTCCCGTGAGAAAAAGTTACAGCATTTGGGGCTTTTCAGAGAAAAGGAAAATAAGCAGCGACATGGAAGAATTGTTGAATTGTAGTGTTAGAAATTATGCATGACATGTATAAGTGTATAAATATATATTTTTTCTTCTCCTGTCATAATACTAGAACACATGGACATTCAATGAAGTTGAATGTTGGAAGATTCAGAAGAAAAATAAAGAGAGTAGTAGCCTTGTAACTTTCAAACTCCTTATTTTTTGAATGATCAGAGAAGTCACCTCACCTCATTCTTAGCATTTTAGCACCCTTAATTCTCAATAGCCTGAGATGCAAGTCTCCTTTGGACAACAATGAAAACATAAAAATGATACAAAATTGCACCTACCGGTATTAAAAATGAGGACCCCAACTTTTTTTTATCTACAAGGTAGTATCTTAAACCCATGACAAAGGATCTGCTTTCACCCTTACATTTCTGTCTTGTTTAAGTAGGCAGTGTGTGAATAGACATTAGGTGTCTTCTCTTTGATGACAGCATTTTCTGTTCTGGTGCAAGAGTTTGGGTAAAGTGTAAGAGCTTGTAAGCTTTCAGCAACAGAACCTTGACCAGCAAAAGCTATTGCTTCCAGGTTAGAAGTTGTTGCAGTCTTTGTGACACAGAAAACACACGTGAAAGACACTCCCAAGCTCTCTTTACTACAGGTAGAGTTGTAGGGCGTAAGAAAATAGCTCAGATGCTCAAGTCATGTCAGAATCTTTATTGGAAAAAAAAATCACAGCATCTCCATTATTATTCAAACACATTTAATAAACAAAGAGAAACAGTAGCAAAGGGCACTGACATGTGACGAACTGTACAAAACCTCAAGGTTTGCAGGCAAAACCTGAGGGTGAGGAGCCCACGGCCCAGCTGCAGAGGTCCGAGGAGCCAACCCCCACCCCCTTGTGGAAAACCCCCCTCCCCTCGGACCACTCAGTCACCCCTGAGAAAAATTGATTAAAAATGTGCAGAAACAAAGACACTTTTAAGAGGTTAGCTCCAACCTTGCTGTAACGGAACAATTGGCCACTGGGAAACTGGACCTGCTACTGGTCCCCAGGGGCTAGCTAATGTTTTAAAGGAAACCTCCTCAAGAGATGCAAATCACCCAGATAAATACCCATCCAATCATTTGCTCCTCTCTTTTCATTTACTGCCTTCTGCAGGGGAAACAGGGTTCTTACTTATTTTCCAGCTTTTGGTTTAGGAGATAATGTTTGGACAGAGATAAAGGCAAATGGAAGGAAAAGCCCTGTTGCTAATAAAGGCAGAGATAAAACTGGTGCAGAAAATGGAAGCCAGTTCTTGAGATTAACAGGGCCTGGAGGTGACCTGTCTTTGTGGGGAAAGAACATCACAAATGGATGAGCTAGAATGGTGTCTTGCCGTAGCTGGATTTCAAGCCCTTATACTAGGAAAGCCAATAGCTTTTCCAATCCCTAATACTGTTTCTATCTCCAGCTAAACAGCTCACCACTCCAGGGAGGGTCCCAACGAATTTGATTACTTTAGTTGAGAATACTTAACAAGGAAAGGTAGGGAGAAGGCAATTGTGTTCCAGTGAAGAACTTAAAATCCACTGAAAAACGCTCACTAGTTGTCAGCAGCAACTGGAGTATATAGGATAGGACTACCCCATTTATTAGGCAGAAACACTGCTTCTCAGAGAAGTTTAACTGCAATCCCGCTGTAATGCATTGCATCAAGCCAGTTACGGCTCATCTCACAATCTGGTTTTCCTTCAGATTCCAATGGAGCCATTCCCAATGGCACAATATGGGCAACAGAATGAGTCTATTTATCCAGTCATCCTGACATCAGGCACTCCTCTAATGGGGCTTCCCCATGCATGGTGTTTTTTGGTGACTATAAAATAAAGCAATGAGGTATTCATTTTGATTAACTAAAGCTACACAGTAAGGTCTCCTTCCAAGCAAACCTAACACTGCTACGTGCCCAGCAAGGTGGGGAATGAGTTGGGTTAGGCCATGTTGGAAATGGCAGCTACTCTTGGCATTGTCAGCCTGTTTTTCTTTCAACTAGTTCATAGCACCACTGCCCACTCTCGCCTCCTCCCTGAGAACGAGAGATTATGAGGGTATATGTGAATGCTATATATATAAATATATATCTGCAGTTCTTATACTTCCTCGCAGCACATACACACCCGATTATTTATCAGTTGTGGACATACACTGACAACAGCTGAAGGTACAAGATAGGGGTTTATGTACACATCACAGTGTTAGTTAGATCCAGCCAAGACGTACAGTCTAATCATGCCAATACCAACACATTATAAACAGGAAGGGCAGGGCAGGACTGGAATGTTGGTTTACTTCAACACACTATGGAGCCAGTCGAGTCTCAGCAGCCACCGACTGACCTCAAGACCTTTGGTACAGTCTTCTTGTAATAGAGACTGAACTAGGACATGTTATTCTAACCCTTAACCTACCAAAACTTCTCTGGAGGTGCATTGTGGGAA